CGCTCGGGAAAACGGCCTGGTGCGCGCAGCTGAGCATGTCGAAAGCGGGCGGAAAGTGACGCCTGATATCTCGCCAGGCGTATGTCCGCGCGCGCGCCTGGAAAAATCGCGGTCGCGTGATCGCTATTACGGCGATCGTGAATTCACATCGCGAAATGCTAAATCCGCGGTCACGCTATTTAGTGTAATTGAAGAGGCAAGTGGCTGAAAACGATAACGTCTGCAACGAATGCAAACGACCCTCTTTCTCTGTACCCCACCCGACTAACTGCGACCGTATTCCGCGGCTGTGGTTAAAATTCCTTTTTCTTCTCTAAAATTTACCTCATCTCTGTATTATTGTACTATTTTCATCCGCGCATTTCGTTCCTTTCCTCTCTCCTCTCCTTTATACACGCGACTTTTAGCGAGCCTGCTCGCTAATCTCATTTCATCGCATCACTTGTTGCATTACATTATACAGTCTGTAAAGTAAGAGCGTGTACGGGTTAATGTGTAGAAAAATTCATTTTTAATGATTTTCAAGTACACGGATTTGTTGTACTTCATGAGAAGAAAAACGCTATACCATTAGTAATGAGTCCAGTCACACCACCGGCATTGATAATTGCCTGGCATCTCCGAGGCATACTTTCCACTAAGTTGACTGCGTATTCGTTCGGTAACGACCTCCAAATGAGACGAATTTGTCGTGTCAGCTGCTTCAAAGTGCAAACACTCTTTTTCCTCGAAGCTTGTGCCTGAGATATGCCTCACAATACGGCTAAAAAAAAAACTAGGACGATATTTGAAGCCAACTGCCATTTATGCCGTACACGCTCTTACTTTACAGACTTACTTTACAGACTTATTACTCTAATTTCGTTCATTATTTTCAGTGTATATCTGGAGGGACTCTATCCTATGAAGGGGAGGAAATGAATGTATCTGCTTGTCTATCTGCCTACTGACTGTAAATATACTTAGGCACACACACACAAGTTTTATCTCTTGTGACTTTGTTTCCTTTGCAACGGATGCATCGGCTGAATCGCATCGTCGGTTTTGCGCAGCGTCTAATTGAATCAATTATCGTCCGCCGGCGCATGGAAGTTTCGCGCTTGCGCCATGGCATTTGATGCAAACGAATATTGCCATAATCGCGGAATATCTGCGGATTATTTAGGAGAGTCTGTCGCCGCGACGAGCGGAAATGATATCTCGATTTCGAGATCTGCAGGATCTACTGTGAGACTGTCCCACGCACTGATTTCTACACGCGTGTAACACGCCAGTCAAGCGTGCACGCGTGTCCGTGTACCTAAATAAAGCACACCATGGCCTGGATTGTACCGCGCCGTAATTACTCGCACACGCAATGCGGTTGGAAACCGTGGAAAGTTTACCGAAAATCGTCCCGTCGACCCAGATATCGCACGCCGCTTGTAAACGCGAGCTGTACACGCACTGTCAATCGCCCGCGATTAACGAGATAAGACGTCGTTGATTCAACGAGGAAGAAACAAGTGAAGGAAACGCCAAGTCAGAGGAAACTAATTAATCCGCACGAGTGACAGGATCAATTAATTCGATATCGAAGTTTGGGGAGTTTTCGGGGGAGCGGTGTGAGGTGTGTGTGATAATCATCAAACAGACACCGCTACACATATACTTCGTCAATCATATTGTCAATTAAACGAAAAGTGGAGGGTATTTCTACCCTCTTTCAGTATTCGATATAAATAATCTGACAAAGTGCAATCTCTCAGTCGCGCAAATTGAACGACGACGGTCGAACAGCAGTTCTCGAGTACTTTTACTACTTCGTTACAAGCGATGATGGGCGTTATCGGGCCGTAAAACCTCAGCGGAAAACCGGCGGGATCCGGCGAGGTCAGCGTTGTTAGATTTTTCAATATTCCAGCGAGGTAGTCATGCCTCTCTCGCGAGCAAATGACGAAGGACGGACGGGGCGGTGGGAGAAGGCGGGGGGGAGGGGGTCTCTAGGGAATCTAATTGAAATTGCAAAGCATTCGAAGCGTCGTGCGACGAGCAGCACTCTTGTACGCTCGTTAAAGTCTCCCGGCGTGACTTCATGATTTCACGAAGGCGACGACTCGAAGAGATGCCGGGAACTCTCTCGCCGGTCGCTCGCTGCTTCGCTCGCCCGTTTCTGACCGCTGAAGAAAATCGTAGCGAAATCACGCCGATACAATTATGCATTCGACATCCGGCGTGTCCGATCGAAGTGAACGGATTGACGCTGATCCCTCACCTTTCCGCTCGCGATCGACCCCCGCGGGGCGAGCCTTCGCATTGCTAATGTGGAAACTCGCGGAATGCGACGAAGGAAGTAACGGGCCGAACGGGCAGCGAACGCTTTTGCTTTTATTTATGGAGGGAAACGCGCACGGCCAAGAATGGTATGATTAAGGAGATCGGCATGTGTGTATTACAGCTGCGGTTCAGCGGAATCCTTTGTTTGCGGTTAGTTCGGCCTAAATCTTCGGCCTCGTGACCGAGGCTATTATCAATGCCTCGTACACAGATTAATCATATCGGATTAACCCTTTAACTGGTAACTATAGTTACCAGAAACGCATTTAAGAATCCTTAGTCAAAAATGTCAAACTTAATTTTCGTTTTCCTTGCACCGCTGTGAAAGGTGAATTCTTCTTCTAAAAAATGGTATATAGATTGTATATGTAGATTCGGTTTAATCTGTTTTTAGCTCAGTTTTAATGATAACATGTTTTGTCAAATTCCAAGTAGGCATAGTTAGCATTGTTACTGACATCTAGAAGTGCGCTATGAATGAATAGAATATAAGTGTTACAACGAGCACATGCCTGTTAAGGAAAACAATAAAAGATGTCAATTGCGCAGTTTGAAAGTTCGAAACAAAGCAGGACAAAAATAATTCGCGAAACCTGTAAAATTCCCCTCTGCGTCTCTCGATGCTTTATGCATCGATCCATTCCGGCTAAATAAAGATCAAGTTCCGAATGTGAGTTTTATGTTTCGAGGAATTTCTCCAACCATTAGGTATGATATAAAATGATATTGAAACTAAAAAAGAAAATTTAACCGATCAGGCGTATTTTTCGCTTCTGGGTAGCAGTTTCTACTTGGAAAGGTAGTTTTTCGTTCGATATAAAATTCTGATATTTTTTTTTGGTTATCGCTACTTATAGTCTCAGTTCAAAAAAACTCAAATTTTATTCTTAAAACACTGATAAAAAAGTCGGGCGTTAAAGGTATTATTGTTAAGGAATTAAAGAGGCGAGAGAAGAGCAGCGTTCACGCGCGGCTTTTCACCGGGAAAAAGTCGGCATTTCGACTTTTACCGTGTAATCTACGGCCGAGAGGATATCCGTCGGCTCTATCCCTTTCTCTCGTCAATAGTATCTGGTCCTTGAGAGCGGAACAATAAAACGTATTATTATGACTTTTTTCAGAGAAATCCGAAAGAGAGAGAGAGAGAGAGAGAGAGAGAGGGAGGAGGGCTTGGGCAACAGCACTCTCATTACTCGGATCGGCCGGCCTCTCGCACACGTGATTTAATCGACAAATAATCCGCCTACCGAGAAAAGTAAGACGTTATGTTCTCGCGCGTATAGCAGCGAGTCAGAAGCGGCGGTTTCACATCTAAGATAGAAAACTAAGCTGCGCTGCAGTTCAGAGCGTGGCGAAACGCAACGCAACGCGTTACGTCGTTTCGACGTAACGAATTATTTTATTCCGGATTTGTACTTATCTCGCGACGTGTGTGGAATAACCGGTGTGGAAAAGCCGAGCGGGAAGTTCTTTTTTCTATCTCTGAGTTCTCTCTACTTGATAAATCGAGCCTCGGCTCGAAGTACAAAATCAAAAGTTGAAGAGAAAATCATTACGTAAGGCGGAAAGATAATATCACGAATATATAAGAGATTACTCGCGCTAGATTAAGTGATTAGATTAAATAAACGATTCATAAACTACTAACAATTTTATTAGCAACAACCCTTGAGGAGGTACACGCGCAGCATCACAGAGGACCGCTCATTCGCAGTGAGTCGCGCGCATTTTCCTTCCACAGAAAGAGGAAAAGGAAAGATCGACACGGGACGGTATGCGAGCTTTTAATTCACGGTTCAACGACGGGAAACCTGATTTTGCATAACGAGAAAGGCCCCCGCCGGTGAAAGCAACAGGTGATTAATAACCGCGCCGTACTTCTTTTTCGAAGGCGGTCGATCCGCTCGGCAATTCAGCAGAATTTCAGAATCGCCTTTTCATTCTGGAAAGCAACGCGACATTTCCCACACGTTGCATAATAGCCACGCCTAATCGGCGCGCTACGCAATCGGAAGTGTGCCCGAGATTCTCACCACGTGCTACCGGTTATTTTATCTTTTCACGTTTGCTCCTGGAGCGTGATAGATCGCGATCTCGAGAGCAGAGTCCAAGAGGAGAATTGCAACAGATTTTTTTTTTTAATAGCGAACGCAATGTCGGATTTACGTCAGTCACTCCACTCTGCGACTTCGCAATACGCATTAGTCGTCAAAGCGGCATTCTTCGAGTCGTACCTCCTTCAATGTTGCGATCTCAACTACACAAAGTTCATTATCGATAGTTCATTATCGAGTGATACTTTATGCACAATTATAAAGATACTCAGAGACTCAAAACTACCTTCCACCTCTACTATTTTCAGGTGCAACACAATAGCAAAACATGCCCAATGGGACGGGATACCTTCAACCCCCAGACTCGATTATCGACGATATAGAGAAAAGAAACCACGTCGAGTTGATTTGCAGGGGACTCTCGTTCAGTCCAGCTAAATCGGCAGTAGAAACAAGGTCCTGCGAGCGTTCCTCGTCTAATGGTCAGAAAAATCATGAAGCGCGAGCGCGCTGAACGCGCGACGCGGTGCTCGATGCGGAGAGGACGAAGACGAGGGAAGAGAAACGAAGAAAGAGAGAGAGAGAGAGAGAGAGAGAGAGAGAGGACTAATCTTCGTGACAATGACTCACCGGCTGTGTATTCGCGCTGGGCCTTCAACCTTGGAGGCTGGTCGAGTCACGACGACAACGCTGCCTCCTCTCCATTCCGGTCGTCGTCCTCCTCCGGTCGATCTCCGGCCGAGATGCACGCGCGCGAGCTGGCCAGACGCACTTTCCAAGGGGAAGCAGCACTTTCCGCGCGATCCCGAGGGGATCGTCGTACCTTTGCAGGAAATCTCCGTCGACGGGGTTGCGGCACGTTGCGGAAACGCGCGGCCGTGATATCGCGACGACGACGACGACGACGACGTCTCGGCGTCCGTTCTAGCCGGAGAACCACCGTCCGTTTCCAGCGCTCGTTGATTCGCGACCGCGAAGCGCCAGGACCATCGGTATCGCGCGACTCGCCGGAGTCCTGCCTGAACGCTAGCCGCCGCCGCCAACGGACGGCCCAGCCGAGGCCCCCACGAGTTTTCCCTCCTCCAGGCCCCGACACGCGCCCCCTCCGCTGGGCCCGTCAAGTTCGCGCAGCGGCGTAAAGGCCGCAGGATTCCAATCGTTCACAGTGGCGCGTCGGTATGCGCGTCTCTCTTTCGCGACGCGCACGGGAATTTCGTCTGCAGCGTTACCCAAAGTTGAGGGAGAATCGAACGGGATCAAGACGAGGTGAATGATGTGACCAGCTGACGATCAAAGCGCTGCTCTTCGAGCTCGTCGACGATGACGTTGAGGACGAAATCGAGCGAGCCGCCTACGCCGCTGCTCTCTCCCGGGGTCGATCTCCCTACCATCGGACCCGCGTCGAAGACATTCACCTCGAGGAGAGCCAACTCCCAGCCAGGTATCGTTACCTGCGGCTACGTTCCTGCCAGCCGTTCCAGCCCCGCCGCCGTTGTTGCTGCTGCGAGTCACTTTTACGCTCGTAGAGTCGATCCGCGCGCGGTCAGTTCGCGTCGCAGCCCGCGCTGGTGGTAGCGCGCCTCCTGCGCTCGCACGTCGGCGTCGGAGCTCTACCATTTTGGCGAGCACCTACGGAGGAAGGTCGGCGGCGCGCGAGTGTCGTCTCTCTTTGTTGGAAGTGAAGGCGCCCTGACGCGCACCTCGGTGTCCTCGAACGCCGGGACACGGTCAAGTGCGCTTCGAATGGATGAATTTAAGCGTCGACACGGCTTGCTCCTCGCTGCGCGCCTATGCAGATGTTACGCCGAGTAGAAATCCGTTCCTGACGTACTGCGAGGTTCGTATTTACTTCGTTGTAATGTCGATTGCGATTCTGTTAATTGATCAAGCCGGACCAAGCCAATCGGGGGTAACGCGCGAAGAGTAATTAAGTGCGCGTTACGTAAATCGCGCGGGTGAAAAGTTTCGTTTACCATTACGAGTGTCAAACCTTGCGCGACGCATTTGAGGATTTTGTCGAATGTTGTCGTACATAATTGTCGCGTTACTTCTGTCAGGATTTCGTTTGGATACAACGGTGGGAAATCGGAAATTGGCTTTCGGTTTGAGATATCATATCTTACTTTGGTTTTAAGCGGATTCTGTTAGGAATTTATCATTATCTCGACCGAATAAATGTCGCAGTGACGGCGAAGATATATAACTTTGCAATCGCCTATTGTTCTTTTATAAGACGTACCCCGCGCCTTGGGGAATGTGATCGTGGGAACCGGATGTAACATTGTTCCTCAAGATGATTCCATCCGATTGCATTCTGGACATATCGAACGTGTTCCACTCCACCGCGGTGGTGATCGAAGGAAGTTGCCTGAACAAATCCGAGCCCACGGCGGTGCTCAGAGATGTATCAGCCCGCGTTCACGGCGGGGAAGTTTTAGCTATTCTAGGATCAAAGGGCTCCGGCAAGCGAGCACTCCTCGATGTTATCGGTAAATATAATTCCAACCTTTTAGCATCACATCTCGCCTCTTCTTCTCGCTTACCATAATAACCGATTCCCGTTTGTCTGCGGCGGCATGTAAAAGCGCAAGAAATAAATTCCCGCGCGCGGGAAATAATCGCGAGTCGATCAGAGTAGTCATTACGGTCATCGATTTTTCTCACCGTACTCGGCGTACTATTTTCAGAGCACACCGTGTGATTAGCTCAGATTAGTCTCTAGCTTTACGAAGATTTCATTCGTCAGATTTTACAAGTACAAGGAGAACAAAATATCGGAGAAAAAAAACACATAAGAGTTGACACAATCACATCAACTATATAATTTCAAAAGTCACTTCAAAACCGTCACGTCACTCCGTCACCACTTCCGATCGAAGCAACTCTCTCGTGTGTTTTAGCCGGGAGAGCGGAGGGTGAGACGAGAGGGAGGGTCACCCTGAACGGCAACCTGCTGACAACGGAGCTATTTCGACGGCACGGCGGCTACGTGGCGCACAGGTGTCATCTTCTGCCGAGTCTCACAGTCCGCCAGACCCTGACATACGCCACATGGCTCGCCAATCTGAACAACCGTGAGGCCAGAGTGCGGCAGACCCTGGCCGACTTGGCACTGTCGCAGGTAGCCAACCGATCGGTCAGCGATCTCACCAGGCCGGAGTACCGGCGGTTGATGTTGGGTGTGCAACTGGCCAAGGACCCGACTCTGCTGCTGCTGGACGAGCCGACCTGGGACACCGATCCGCTCAACACGTATCTCATCGTTTCGATGCTATGGTCCTACGCCACAAGACGCGGCTCCATCGTTGTGCTCACCATGGAGACGCCCAGGTCCGACGTGCTACCCTTCGTCAGTCGCGTGACCCTGCTATGTTTGGGCGCGGTGGTCTACTCAGGACCCACCAGGAGTATGCTGGATTACTTTACCTACATCGGCTTCCCATGCCCGGAACTGGAGAACCCGTTGATGTATTATCGTAAGTGCTGCTAGAATTATTCGTGATTGAATATATCGAGCGCATGTATTGAAGTTTATGTATTGAATGTTTCCAGTATGTCTGTCGACGGTCGATCGCCGTTCCAGAGATCGCTTTCTAGAGTCCAACCAGCAGATATCCGTTTTGGTCGAGAAGTTCAAGGTGGACGGCATGCTTTATATGAAAGAAGCCCCGCAAGTGCCGCACAACGTTAAAGAGACGACGCTTGGCATCATGCACAAAGGATTAGGTCGCGGAATCAAGCCTGGCTGCTTCTCGACCCTTTTAGCGTTATACCTGTAAGTTTCCTCCTCGCTTGAACGACTAATTTCCATAAAAAATTTCTCGATGAGTTTAACATCCTTTTCTTAGGAGAGATTCTCTTTTCCTTTCATTTCACTCGTTCTTCTCTTTCGGAAAAGAATTACGAAGGAAATGATTATCGATTACAATTTATCTGCTAAAGTATACGTCTTTAGGTGACATCTCCTGGGAGGAGGTACGCTCGCTTTTTTTCTTTCAATTGGTCGAGGAAAAATTTATCGAGGAATTTATCAAGGTCTCGGCGATCTCGATACTTTGCAGAGATTAATCACAGTCATGTTGTTACACTTAGGAGAGGTATGGCCGCTACATTCTCTTTTAATAAGACCGGCCTGGGACACTTCGCTGCTCGCCTGCTGTTGCTACCGTTCTTGGTGGCCCTAATGAGCATACTGTACTCACACTCGAGTCCCGTACAGTCGAGAATATTTCTACAGACCGGCGGTTTAATCTTCAACGTCCTAACGTTGTTTTACGTGTCTGGAATAGCCGCGACCTCGCTTTTGTGTAAGTATCAACGTAAGACAACATACCATGAACCAGAAGAAAAGAAATCGATAGCAGCTTATGCTTCTAGTCTCCTCCAGGAATTAATATTTCATGTTTCTACGATATCGTTGAACTAATCAACGAAACCAAACCACAGTTCCAGGTTTTCGCGCAAGGTACTACCAAGAAAAGCGAGAAGGGCTTTACGGTGGCGCCATGTTCTTGACGGCGTACACTCTGTTGAGTTTACCCCTGAGCTTCATATCGACTCTAATAACAATCGGCATCCTGATCCCCATCCTGGAGCTGGACATCTCTTCATGGGCTTATGCTTGCGGTATTCTGTGGTCCAGTTACGTGGCGGCCGAACAAGTGACCGTGGCGGTTCTCATGGTGGTCGGGCGACCTATAACGGGCGCGGTCACGGTTCTGTACATGACCCTGTTGTCCTTGGTGATCGCATCGGGTGCCATTCGCAGTCTCAAGAACCTGCCCTATTGGCTGGCGATGGTGTCGACTGCGTTGCCCACCAGATACGCCTCATTGGCATTGAACCAGCTGGTTATCGACGTGCCCACCATGTCGAATCTGGCCTATAACGAGAGCTTCACTTGCCCGGGCATTCCCGAGCTCTGCAGATACCCCGACGGCAAGACCTACCTGATCGAACGTTTCACCAGAGAAGGCGAGAACATCTCCGAAGTGTTGAACGTGGATTTGAATCTACTGATTTCCCTGGCCTTCGCTGTCGGTCTTATTATATTAAACAGCGTATTGTATCTGTTGCCATTACCCGCCAAAGTGAAGGCTAAGTTCAGAGAGTAGTGAATCGCGCAACGCGAGTGTTTTCGCGTTCATCGATACTATTATATAAGAATATGTCGCTACGTTCGATATCGCGTTGTAGACCTCATTTGACTTCTACTTTTGATGTATATAGAACAATATTGATTACAGATAACGCGAGAGGATGACGTTGGTATTGATTATAAAGAGAAGAGCGCACGTTGCAAATATTAAAAATCTTTATTCTGTAGCATATATTACAAAATGATTGATTGATTGTTTCATTCATCCTCGTAGCGTTAATCGCCGTGCGCATAACACGATTTTACTTTTTGCAATTGCACACATACACACACACACACACACACACACGTATCAGGCTACGTAAAAACACTTGTACATTTAAGAAACGTACCTATTTGCACTGTGCTTAACGCTATTAACATATAACGTATATGCTTATCACATACAAGAACTTTTTTCTCGCGTACCCCCGCGAGTCCCACTTGGTATAATTTGAATGTTACGATATATTATACAAACAAAGCGTACAGATGTCTATCGGTAATATTATGCAAATTAAAATTGCAATTAACATTATTAGTAATCCTTTCTCACTTATATTACATATTTCAAATCAAATTGTTGTTCAACAACATTTCTCATAGATTTTCAAGGCGCTTAGTTTTTTAGGTTAGGAATCATGTACAAGAGAGATTTTACAATAGGTATAACAAGTTACTTTCAGACAATAAGCAAGGTGTTAAATGACTTTACTTTGCATGTGTTATTTAAAATTTGTCCGATATATTATAATTTACGACTCGTCGACCTCCACTTGTCCCATTTCCTTCAGATCGTCAGCGACGGCAAATTCACAGCCTGTCGAACTAACGACCTCACTGATGTCGACATTGGCGGCGATCTCGATAAGTTTCAATCCTTCTCCTTTCACCACCTCGAACACCCCCATGTCTGTGATAATTAAATCTACGCATTGTTGGCCTGAGAAAAGATACAGAGAAGGATCATGTAGAAGCAAAGAACAGCGTAGAAATATTACGAGATATAAGGTATGATATTATCAAACGACGGAAACGAGATATCATGATATATACCACGTTAACGCATTATACCTGTAATAGGCAAGGTGCAGTTTTTCAAGATCTTTGGACTTCCGTCCCGAGCTTTGTGCTCCATAGTCACAACCACCTTGGTGCCCGCCGCGGAAACGAGGTCCATGGCACCGCCCATGCCTTTCACCATTGTGCCGGGTATCATCCAGTTGGCTAAATCTCCACTCTCCGACACTTGCATGCCACCGAGGATAGTCAGGTCGACGTGTCCACTGAAAAATACAATCATACAGCCTCCTTCTTCGACGTCGAGGAGTCAGGTAAATATAAGTAATCGTATACCCTCTAATCATGCCGAAACTGTCTTCACTACCGAAGAAAGAAGCACCAGGTAAAACTGTGACGGTTTCCTTCCCAGCGTTGATGAGATCAGCGTCAACTTCGCTTTCATCGGGGAAAGGACCTAGTCCAAGGATACCGTTCTCTGATTGTAACGTGACCTTCACGCCCTTTGGAATGTAGTTACTGGCGAGCACGGGTATGCCGATTCCCAAATTTGCTGTAAAAATTTCAAGCAAGTCTTGTCAAGCATTGCACTCGCAAGGGAGTTTCGCCATTTTCCCATTTCTAACTCTTGATCTTATTCCTTACCGTACATTCCATCCTTAAACTCGAGCGCAGCGCGTCTAATGATTCTGTCCCTCGCTTTGCCAGCCGGGGTAACCTTCTTCGGCTTTACGGTTTGTTTGGTCGAGCGTCTCTGAGCAGAGCGGAAAAGCAAAATTCAAATAGGAGAAATCTGCATAACTGGATATGTAATACTGGAAATACCGATCAAGGTGAATGAAAAACACGAACCTCGATACGCTTTTCGAAAGAGGGGCCTTTCACGATTCTGTCTACAAAAATGCCAGGTATATGAATGTGATCAGGATCCAGCTGACCAATTTCTACGATCTCCTCCACCTCAACGATCGATACTCTGGCCGCCTTGCACATCACTGGATTGAAGTTCCTGGCGGATTTCCGGAAGATGAGATTACCCGCGGTATCGGCTTTGTATGCCTTCACGAGCGCAAAATCGCCGGTGATGGCGGCCTCCATCACGTAGTTTCGTCCGTCGAATTGACTCACATTCCTCGATTCACCCGATATCTCCGCGTTACCATTCTTGTCGTACTTGACGATCACATTCCCTTCCTGTACGATAGTACCAAAAGCTGTGGGAGTGTAAAACGCTGGAATACCTGCGCCTCCAGCTCTAATACGCTCCGCCAAAGTACCCTGTAAGTACGTCACGATAAAGCTAAAGAAAAAAAATTGTTACAATTTTATATCATACTTTCGTTTTTTTCTCTGTACAGCGTTACCTGTGGCGTTAATTCGACCTCCAATTGACCACTCAGATATTGCCTCTCAAATTCTGGATTCTCACCCACATAGGAGGCAATCATCCTTTTGATCCGATGAGCTTTCAACAGTATACCTAATCCAAAGTCCTCCACTCCAGCATTGTTTGAAACCACTGTTAAATCTTTGCAGCCTTTATTGAGTACACCCGATATCAAGTTTTCTGGAATACCACAAAGACCAAATCCACCAACCAACAGTTTGGCTCCGTTGGGTATGTCAGAAACAGCTTCCTCTATGCTTTTAAACACCTTGCCATTTCCTACTGGTACTTTTCTAATGACATTCTCATTTTTATTTTCCACTTGTGGGATATCTGCTTTGATAGAGAACTTTACAGTACATACCTGTTGAACAGAAGACTCATCTGAATCTTACTCATAAAGATGTTTTATATAATGCTATAACAAACAACTAACATATGTTACTAATTAAGAACACAGTATAATATTAAATTAATGAATAAAAACTGATATAAAGTAATATTAAAAGAATGAAGCATGTCAGGGAGCATGGAACATGTGGAAAATTAAAAATATAAAAACAATTAAGATATATATAAAAGATATTGAGAGAGATATAAAAGATCAACTAAAGTATATCTGATCAATTTCTTATGACAAATAACAGAACTGCGAAAACAACTTCACATAATCTCACAAGTGAAATAGATTATAGAGTATAAATATAATTATTTTTCGCAATGATATCCTACATTCTTGCGAGACAATCAAAATAACTGCAGCAGCAGCATAGGCTAAGTGGCATCTGATAATAGCGTAACAATCATATTTACCCGTGATATATTTAAATAATTCTGGCTTATTCGCGAGCCGCCGTTCAAAGCCGCGAGCCGCAGGAATATTCCACTGACTCCTTTCAACGCGAACGCCATTTTTTTACCCGGCGATAGATATGTATTATTTATGAATTCTATTCAAATTCTACACAGTGTTAGAGAGGTTAGAGGTTAAATGTAGACCGCTTCGTTTGCTTCAAAGTTACTCCTTCGTGCTTCAATTACACCTTGTCTTTTAAAATAAAATTGCTCTTAAGTACAGACGTCAGCCTGATGTACTTAAATAATGCCTTCGTGTTGAAATGTTGTTATATCATGAACCGCACCTCACACTTCGAAGCGCGGAACGCGCGGATCCTGACTGAGCAGATTGGATTGCGCGTCGACGTTTCAGTTCGAGCGCACTCGAATGCTACCGAAGCCGCCCGATCAGGAACGTGTTAACTCGAGTAAGGTGCAGAATTTTTGTTTCAACCATTGTAAAAATAGTACTCACTGTAAATTAATTTTACAGCTCACTTCTTTCATCTTCCCGATTTACCGAATTTGCATGTATATTAAAGTTACAACTTCAAATCTTGCCCCGTAGATAAATCTTTTCCAACAATTATCACGTGCATCCCAAAAACGTATAATTTTTCATGATACGTGCAGGTGCCATATAACATAACAAATGAAAAATCGTGTGTGTAAAATGTGAAAAGAAAATTCCTTAGTGAATAATAATATCTACATATTAATGGACTTTTTAACAGAACATGTTATTGTGAGATTATTTTGAAGAAACTTTTTTCTAGAAAACTTCGCTTCTCGATGCATTTTCTGCATCTTATCAGAATCTTGGAAAATTCATGAATAAGAAATGAAGAAGGTAACTCGGGTGTTAAACCAAGGCGCTCAAATATAATAAGACGACGTTCTGTCTTGTTGATAGATACGGCACTCTACTGGAAGAAGAACGTGTTTATACCACGCTTATTGTGCTTAAATTATTTCAATAGCGAGAATGTCTCTAGCAAGCTCGTAAGATTAAACGTTGAATTGGATTGATAAGGAACTCAGTGAACTATCCGGCGAATAATAGGAGGCAACGTTTCGCAAGAACGCGATTCTTCTCAATTTATGTTTTTTAGTATCAAGTTCTTAATCCTGTACAGCATAGAAAATTGAAACAGTTGCTGAGACGTTCCAATGTTGAAATATCTCTTTAACGTTGAATCTGACTAAGTCTTCTACAGATTGATTCTTTACGTTGTGAAAAATAATAATTCGCTCACACACTGTTGTTTCATCGTCATAATATAAAAAGTCAATGTAGAAGACTTAATACAGATTCAACGTTGAAAAGATATCTATACCTTAAAATTCAACATTACAATGTTTCTTCAAGTTTTTGTACTACGATGTGATACGACATTTCGAGAACTACGTCAGCTACTACGATAAGCGAGCCAAAGATAGCACGACCGATTAATGAATCATGTACATATTTGTGCGAAAGTACTTTTCCAAACGAATTGGAATTAATTCTGGATATTCTGAATATAATAGCAGCAAACTCTGTGTTTCTTCAAACTGTCGTTAATCTTACGAAACAATATGAGATATTCTATTGCATATTTAATTGTTAAATATTCTTTAATCAGATATAATATAAGATATAATATGAAAATAATTGCTGAGATTTAGGAAACTGCTGTTTCACGATAATACGCTGTATTTACCATGTTTTAACGTGTTATCTTACAGTTTGTAAGTGTTTGTTTTTTCTTTTTTATTGTATCTGCGGATACAATATGCGCCTTAATGCAAGGCTAATTTTCTCCATACTTCAACGTTATCTCCGTCTGATAACGAACGTCAACCACCAGTCCCCGTCAATTTCGCGTATAATGGTCCGTAAATATCGCGAAATTCGCGTAGATAGTCATTAGAGATAATCGGTGTTTACGTGGATTCGATGAAAACGTGCATTTATCATAAAGATTTTATTTATTGATACTCTGAATAAAACGTACTTAATCCTATATACGTCGTGAACTTTGTGTGAGCTTACATACATCGAGACATATTAATTCTCATTCCTGTCACTTGCGTAACAAGTGTCTCTTGAATACTTGTTAATGAATATTAATTGGCTGACGATAGAATAACACCGATGATACTGATATCGACGTGACGACATTGAATCAACATGTTTACCTTTCGAATAATTAATATTAACGCTGTAACCGCCGTGGGTAAGATTGAATTTTTTTCCACAATTCTATAGATCGATATCGACTTGGACAAACAGGATCGTTTCGTGACTCTGAAGAAATTAAAACCGATATCAGGCTATATATAATAGCGCTTTTATGCATCGTAATTATGTAATTATGTGGAAAACTATGCGTCGAATCCGATAAACACGTTCGTCACCGTCTCTCTTATGAGCTGATCAGGTATGCATCAAGAATATTGCAAAGTCTTTAATGCCTGCACCAGAGAGGAAGATAAAGAGAAACATTCCAGAAAATAAAATATTTTAAAAATTAAACAGCGCCATATATGACTTAACGATTATGCGCAATTGAGTGATACGACTGCGAACATATTGATTATGACGAAAATTAAACGAGAGAAAAAGGTACTCGATACATTATTTAAATAAATTGCAGGGATAATGACAGAGCAACTCAATAAAATTTATTCATACTTTACTAGTCAGTGTTAATAATACTTTATCTAGTCAACTTTAATGATATATTGATCAATTTCAGTAACGGAATGATAAAATACAAAACATATTTTTACCGAAGCTACATCGCGCTCTAATAGGAAATATAGAGAAGACGCTGAAAATTTCTTTTTCCGACGCACAACCCCTCAGAAAGTTCTTTGTTACTTCTTCTTCTTCTTCTTCTTCTTCTTCTTCTTCTTGGCAACTCGATTTTGCGCTTGCCATATGACACAATGCACTATACGATAGTTTGAAGGCGACGTAGTCGCAGTATTGCAGATTTCAGCTTACATTTCCGTCGCGCGTTCAATGCTGAAAAAACTCTCGATCTTCACGTGATTCTGCGTGTAGATATCCTCAAAGTGCAAGGCAGAAAGACCGAGAGTAGACGTTTAAAATCATGGTAACATACGAGTGAGCGAGTGATACATCATCAACGTATCATCTCTCACTTGAAAGAACACTCGTTCGTTCCATCAGAGAACGTTATCGACATTTCCGCGGAGTTTAAAATGTCTTGCGAAACTTTCAAGTTTCTTTTCTTCGCCGAGGCTGCCCTTCCTATCTCTTTCTCCCTTTCCCGTTCGACATGTTCATCGGAGTGTTGATCTCCATCGCGTCATCGATGTCTACCAGCCCGTGCGTCCGTCACAGCACCCCACAGCTCGATGACGAAGTCATCGGTGAAGCCGAAAGCCTCCAAATCAGAATTGTCGATCGCCTCGGCGAAGTCTATACTGTTGCACTTGCCTTCGGCGAGTTCCCAGATTTGAGTGGCTGCGTATGAATCAGAAGTGATAACCGATTGATATTTCAATCAGTCTTCGATGTTTTAGATTAAGCGTACCTAATTCCGTGTCGTAGATACCCATAAAGCTCTCCAAGATAGCGTTGATCTTCTCGACGCCTATCACGGCGGCATCGTCCACCTGCAATAAATCATAAAAATATGAAGAGGAATTACCTAAATGTCATACAAAAAAAAAAGAAAACAAAAAGCTCGCTTCCATATTTCCGATATTTCCAGCGTTTCTCGCGTGAGTGCAAGCATATTATTTCCAATTATATCAATTACCCCTTTCGGTGGAATTGCTTAAAATTCTCCTAAACTGTTTTACATTCTCTTCACTTTCACCGCACCTTTTCTATGATTTGCGCGCTGCCGTCAGCCTTGAATCTCAGGGTCTCCTTGCCAGACCCGTAGCCGGATTTCTTCCCTTTCCTGAGGTCACTACGTGGCCCGATGCTGCCGAAGCCATTCTTCTGCGGCTCCACCAGTCTCAACGTAAACGTCGAGCCCTTCGGTATCTCCTTTAGCATCTTCGCCACCTCGAAGTGTCGTCTGCCGACCAGACTGGTCGAGTTGATCCTCTCGATGTGGTCGCCCACTTCGATCACTTTTATCCTGTCTATCACGGAGCCCTCCTTTATGCGCTTTATAAAAGCGTATCCGGCGCCGTTGTCGGTGATCGTCAGACCTAGTGCGTCGTCCGTCTTCACCAGCTCGATCTCCTTCGGCCGACCTGCGTCATTTTGCGAGAATTTAAATTATTATCGTGTATCATTCTTTATTCCCGTTTGAGATATATTTCAGACGGAAGATTTTCGGCATTAGAGTATATCGGAAAGATTTAATCATTGACTTCCACGAAGTCGTCATTCGATCAATTTGACACGAGTTGAGTCATCCCTTCGTGCGACAGTTGAACGGTCTATTTACTGAGATATAATACGTGCAATATGCAGGAGATAGATAAATACCTTTTTTGTGCGCGAATATGAAATCACCCACGCCGATCTGTCCACCGAGCAACTCGGTCATTTCCACTTTGTGCGTATTTAACGTGCAGAAGAGAATCTGGAACGTGAAACATTTGACGGTTAGCTTTCGCTATATTTAGTACGTTGCTTATAATAATAATCCATCTTTCGCCAATTTTAATCTCATGCAGGATCGCTTGATATATATATATATATAATTTACAATAATTTAATTTAATACAAGTAAAACTTGGAAGCGTTCACGCAGGAACGCCCGAGGCACGATTCGGAATGCTAATTTTCAATTTCTCCTTAATATAACATTCTTTTGCTTGAACCGAGCAGAAATCAAGTTGTGTCGCGTCTTATCTAAACGTCCGAGTTTCGTCGCTAGACGTTTGACTCAACTTCCACGAGATATTTCTCTCTGTCGAAGTTATATCTACATTAGTTTATCTCTCATTTTATTTTATCCGTGTTTGCCAAGCGTTTCGCGATAAAGCGCGGCTTCTGCAGCCAGGAGCTGCGATTAGCGCAGCTGACGTGCAATGAGAAATTACGATGTAGAGAGGCTTCAAACGAGCCATAACGAGTTGGGGTCGGCTCCGGGCGACCCGGTTACTTCGCGGCTGTCGCGTTTACAGCGCGTCATTACACGTCGAATTGCACGTCGGGACATATCCGCCAGGTCGACGAGAGAGGCCACAGCCCGTGACCGGCGTTTCCTGCGTCCGGTGTTGTTTCTCCCCAACTAACGCGGAGTGTTCCGCGTTGGGAATACTGAGAGCTGCGCTCGCACGCGTGTGGATATTATTCTTGCACCTGTGCGCTGCAACAATCTAACCGGTACCTGCTCCCAGTCGCGCCGCACGACACTCCATCATCGTCGGCTGCGACGGCTTTATCTCGTATCGCCGACTTGTTGCTCTTTCAAACACATACAGTCCGTTCAGTAAGAGAGTGTGGGTGATATTTTTAAGTAGAAAATCATTCAGTAGCATCTACACCATCTACACTGATAGAAAAGTATAGTTGAATTAACTATAATCTCACTATATTTTATAGTTCATTTTGGCGTCAACCATACTTTTTATAGTTCGTTTATAGTTCGGAATCTGCAAAATATAGTAGAATAAACACAAATATATAGTCAATGATTGTCTTAAATAATTGTTTAGTTACTTTCACCACATATATGGTAATTTCTCATTCACAAGTATAGTGAGATTTAATACTCATATCAGTTACATCTGTCATCATTTAGCAAATATTCTGGTAATATTGACTATATAAAAGGGTTAGTTTACCTACCATTTTATATTTGTATCCGTACAATAATTTTAGTTTAACTTACTATAATTCTTAGTAAAAATATTATATGGTTGGTTATACTATGCCCATATCGTAATTACTACCTACCGATATTATGGTAATACTGACTAAATAAATATGATATTTCGGACTATAATTTAGTTACTATATCATTATAGTTCCAAATATCATACACTTTTCTCTCAGTGTACCTTATACCCGTTTAAGTCTCGAAACTAACTTCTTCTGCGCAGTGTACATCAAAGAGTTGCGTCGAGTAGTCGTTAAAAGTAAACATTATTTTTAAAAACGAGTGTAAAATATTTCAAGCGTTAGGAGGCAGTGTTTCTTATTGAGCATTCTAAAGGACCAAAATTAACAATCATCGCAGCAACTGTTAGAGCAATTAAAAAGGCAGAGGCTTTCGTAAGAAGGTGAGTAAATAGATTTAAAACCGCTGGAAATGTTGACGACTTGCCAGAAAGAGGGCTGTCTCATCAAAACTCCGCCGAAAAGGTCAACATATCTCGCTTAATACCATCAGAAGCCGCCTGTATGAAAATGACGCGGTATCACCACATTTCGGTCCACTGTGAAAAAACCGCTTGTCAGGAAAGCTCGAAAATGGCGGCTATGATGGACTGGCCGGCATTCTCTCCAGACGCAAATCCCATCGAAAATATATGGTCATACCTTAAGATGAAACTTAAAGGAGAGCGTGTCTTTACTTTTAAGCAGCTGTGCAGCATAAAAATAAAAACAATATGGCGTTCTTTACCAGAATACGCCGAAAATCTGGTCGAAAATGGTGCAAGAATGATGGCCAAGCAATAATCGATAATGAAAGCAACTGAATCAAATGTTAGATAATTGCGCATTACGAAAAATCTTCTATTTTTGTTTAAAAGAAATAACTTGACTTTATCTTTTATTCTTTTCAGATTACCATCACCAACACTTTCTCGTTGAGCAAACTGTACTTTGCATTCTTTTTTCTAATATTTTCAGCTTTAATAATTCTTTAAAATATTTGTTTTAATATCTTCATATTATGAGCATCCAACCATTGATCGATTTATCTTAGGAATTAGTAAGTAGATTCCGCTGAGCTCGTATTCGTATACGGAGAAAAACGATTGACCAACCGTAACCGATGAAGGAACCGAAAGTGTTCCGGTTCCGAGGAGACACAATTTCTAAGAACCGGTCTTGCTGGCTACGAAGCAGAAATTCTGTCTTCTCCCGCCAAAACACGCGTTTGGCTCGTTCATCGTTAATCGCAACCGAACCCTGTTCTTCGCAGGGATTTCACGACAGCGTGGAAAATCGGACTCGTTACGTCGTACTCATTACCCTCCCTGACCTGTACATTCATGATTTAATAATCATAATTAATTAATAATCATAATGACAACTCCTTAAATATTTCAACAACCGTCCAGGACTACGAACGTCGCGGCGACTCTGTGACTCACCCGACGACTCGCACTCACCTCTTCCGCGGGCAAGTCGTAGCACTCGGCGATCTTCTGGTACAGCTCGCGGACGTTGCTAAAGTCCGAGATCAGGCCCATGGGGCTGCCGTGGGCCAGCTGGCAGTGGAAGACCAGCGACGGTTTCGGGGCCCGGGATCCTCTCGTCGCCTGCTCGTAGTCGGGTGGAGCACTCGGCGTAAAAGCCGATCGTGCCGCGCTATTGCTCGGCCAGTTACCGTTACTGCTCGCACCGTCATGATTATTGTCACCGGTCTGATGATGAAGATGATGGTTCCGATGTTGCTGCTGCTGCTGCTGCTGCTGCTGCTGCTGCTGTTGCTGTTGCTGTTGCTGCTGCTGCTGCTGCTGCACGCCGTTCGCAGCTTTCTCCGTTATCGGCGATCTCGGCGTGGCCCGCGGCTTGAAGAGCGGCATTCTCGGTCCTGCGTGTATGAATAAATCATAGGTAAGCTCCGTTAGCGATGGGACGACGTTCTCATTATGAAGCTTGGCTTGGCGAGATTCAGCGGATCGAGAAGGCAGGTGAGCCTGAGCTTCTCTTAATCCTCCGCGATTCTACATTGAAGCGAACGCGATGTGAATCTAACAGACGTCCTCGGGAACATCTTATACTTATTTCATGTGTCCCTCAGACGTCTCTAAGATGTATTTCAGACGTCCCTGCTGTCTGGCAAGTTACAAATGCGCGCGCGCGAGTTTTTCTTTCCTCATAAAGTATTCTTATAAAAGTAATCAAGAGATCCTTGTGAAGCGCCTCAATGGAAATTAGCCTTTACGTCCAACGACTTGACGGTATGAGCGCTAAAGTCGTGAGGGAATATTTTTAATTACTTTATTTGAAACCGCAAGAATGATCGCATGCTCAATTCAAATACTCGCACACTTGTGCATCGCTGTGCATCTATTATTCACCAAATATAACACATCTGTGGCATGTGGCTTAGGGTTGTCCCGGTTTTGAGACCCGGACTTTTCAGATTTTCAAAAGTTCAGAAGTGTCCGGGTGATAAGTCAAACCGGACGTCATATGTCCGGTTTTTAAGTTCCAATCCAATCAATGGAATGAGAGTTCAGGTTTTAGCAACGTTTCTCCGTTTCAAGCGCCTACAAACGATCGCGAGCGCCACGAAAAGCCATCTAGGTAGATGATCTGCCGATCCGTCATTCCATATATATTAAAAAAGTAATAGTTTATTATTTTATTCAATCGAATCTTGTTTACAAAATTGTTTGGAAATTAATATCGTAAAGAAATCCCTGTCATATTTTGTATTTAATGTAACGTTATGATTATTATTTCTGTTCCGGTTTGGGTCTGTTAGCAAAGAAGAAATGTCCGATAATTTTAACTTTTGGACTTGGCAACCCTACGTGTGCTCCGTGCAATCGTCGTCCGTTTCTTTTGTTTCAAAAATTATTCGTCTTCGTCACACGTTCGTTCTCATTGCCAAGCGATACCTCTCAAGCCCCCCGAGGAAGTGTGTTGATTTTTCCAAATTTTTCCAGATTTATCCGGTGTATAAATATTTTTGCTCGATGGAGAATCCCAAACTCGGTCACTCCTCCACCGCCGCCGCTTCTGCACGTTGAACGATTGTCTGGCGGCGCTGCGCCGTGCTTCGATCGAGATATCTCCGCGCAAATAGCACGGGGGGACAATCGCCGCGTATTGCAGCGCGGGGGAGCATTAAATCAGCATTCGTTGAATCACAACACACGGTCGATAATCGCCAGATCGGCGCGATACTCGGCTTCGGTATTGACGTTAGACAAGCGCAGTGAGAACCACGGCGACAGGAGAAGCACGCGGCGGTAATTGCGATCTCGCGACTCACCGCTGCGGCGCGAGATAAAATAGAAGTACCTATCGGCCACATGTTACATCGGGCGCAACCTCAGTCCGCAACCTCCGCGGTCGCGCGGAGTATACAACGATAAATCGTGCGATTCTTCGCGCACTTGTGCTCGAAGAATCTCCCGGCTACGTGCTTATTCGCAATATTCTTTTATTTATTTATTTGACCCTTTACGGCTTACCAAACACCTTTTTTTTTTTTGGTAAACATAAAATTGAGATGACTAATATAATGAAGATCAATCGAACTTACATATAGTGAAAAGTATTAAAATTGACATATGTCAATAACCAAACCAGTATATACAAAATTATTGAAAGATGCAGCGTGTTTAGTGCACATGAGGAAGCAAAGTGCATTCAATGAATTATCGTAGAAGTCGAATATCTGTTGGCTATCATTAACATTCTATTTGTGCAGCTGAATTTACTATAATTCGTGCGATGCCTTTCAGCGTGGAGCACGTCTCACGATCGAATCGGCCTAGCTGGTATTTAAAAAGTTTACATGCGGCGACGATGGCGGAGCAACGAATACGATTGTGCAGAACTTTAAATAAAAATGTTAGATCAAATATTGCTCAATAAATTACGTATGACGCAAAAGCTCAGACACATAATTGTGATCAGCGAAATGCAAATAGGATCACTCGCAAAGGATTGATTCGCATTGTTATTATTTTACATGATCACCATCACGCGGTAGAGACGCGCGCGAGAGACGCGAGAGAGGGGCCGCGTTCGCGGAATGACACGTTTTCAGGTACACGCCGAGGAGTCGCGTACGCCTTCTCGGGCCGCAATATCTCATTGCTTCGAGCAATCGCGTGCCTTGGACGAATACGGGATATTTACGCAACGTCACTTTAAACAAAGCAGTGCCCCGCGTCCCTCGACGTCGGCCGACGACGCCCCCCGTTTGCGCGCGACACCACGCGATGATGACGACGCTTGTAACTCGCTTCGAATGCAACTTTTGATGTTTCACTTCCTTTCCGGTCTTTTAGTATAATTGCGTTTAATGCTTCACGACACGCGCCGCTCTTCTCGTCGTTGTGACTTGGCTCGGGTCTGGTTGTACTCGTCGAGAATGCTGCGGAATCGCTTTCCAAATTCGACGAATTTTTGCTTCAAATGTCATCTTTCTCTTCAATTCAAGATCTTTTTCTTCAATTAGGATCCTCCCTCAGTTTCCTCATCGAATTCCTCATCTAATCGTGCAGATTTGCAGCCGTCTCGAGACATTCGGATATCAAAGGGTACGTGCCGCCGTTGTGATGATTTGTGTAAGTCACGATCGCCCACGACGAAGTGCAATCGCGAATTTTAATCTCAGATCGCATCGCGAGATTTTTAAAATCCAGCCAGATAGGTGGCCCCGATGATCGATTTCAGTAATCGCGCCGTATCTTCTGAGAGACTTGCGATTCGAGACGCATGCAATATTTTTACGAGGAGCCACTACCGCAAGACGCCACACGCAAGTGACAGATCGTCGTCGCCCGTCCGAAGGTTCATTGTTCAAGTCAGCCGGGAAATGTGACGCAAAGCCACGTGCGATTTCATTATTCGCCTCTGACTTTTTTATCCAACGTGACTCGCTGTCTGCGCGGACCATCTTTCTTTTTCCTCCTCTCTTTCCGTCGGAACCCGGCATTTTTCAGCTATTACACTTAATTCAGTATTAAACTTAATTTTAAAGGATTTACAAGAGATGGCGCAATGAGCATCTAGTGGCATCGGCCCATACTGAAGTCAACTTCATACATACGGAAGCCCTGTCATTAGGCTTTAAGAATCAGTATATTTCATTTGATCCAAGTGTAAATACGTAACATATTTTTTTATTTTTTAGCGCATTCCATATGTCGAATTTTGTGCCAACGAAACGCAATTTGCAGGAAGCGTTACTTTTTGGTTTCCATTTGAAAAAATCGGCAGCTGAAAGTCTTCGTTTGCTGTCCGAAGCTTATGGGGATTACGCTCCATCGATCTTAACTTGTACTGGTTTAGACGATTCAAAAGTGGAGATTTTCCACTTATCTATCGTTCGAAGGGTAATGCTCTGTATTTAGGTAGGATCAGAAGGGTGTGGTCTATTGTGAGCTGCTGAAAACCTGGCGAAAGCATTACTGTTATCGGCAACAACCAGTACAGCTGAACCGAGAATTGGAAGAAAAACGACCAGAATACGCCAAAAGACACGACAAAGTGATTTTCCAGCATGACAACGCTCGGCCACATGTCGCTTAACCGGTGAAGGAAACGCTAGAGCTGTTCGGATGGGATGTTCTAGCCTCACCCGCCGTATTCACCAGACATCGCTCCTTCTGATTTCCACCTGTTTCGATCCATGCAGAATCACCTTTCTCACCCAGCACTTCAGTTCTTTAGAAGATATCAAAAAAATGGCTCGATTCATGGATAACCACAAAAGACGAGTCGTTCGATCCGCCGAGTCGAATCCGCCTTTTACTAGAAAGATGAGAAGGAATTGTAGCTAACGATGAACAATACTTAGAGTAACACATACTTGTCACTTTGTTTCGAAATAAACGTTCATTTTCACAAAAAAAAAAAAGAAAAATCCTTTAAAATTCAGTTGAATACCCGGTAACCAAATAGCGGCACGAAGGAGTGGATATCGTCATTCACGCGGACGCAATCTCCGCCGATCTACGCTCGAATTCGCGAATTGCGCGTTCGGCCTCGTTGCGTGTCGCGCAAACTGCGATTTGCCCGAGAATCGCGCGGTGGATCGAGGGTCTTGCGTGTCACCAACAATTTTACCTCGCAGCCCAGCGAAACGGTGTCAAAGTGAACGCGAACGCGAGCGATAACAGGTTGAGCCCGCGCGACGTAGGCAGAGTTAGGCGGCCGGTGTGGGCGAGCGAGCAGCGAACAGGTGGTTTCGGTTTGCCAGGTCGTTGGCATCGGCTCGCGGTTCCTGACTAAGCTGTCGTGGATTTCGTAAACGCCGTTCGCCGCAGGCAGACGACGGGCCGGTTTAGCGAGTTAGACGCGAGCCACGCGAGCAACAATACCGTTTCGAGCGTTCCGCCGTCACGCGATCGACGCTCTCGCGAGCGACCGGATCGTTTAAACCTAATTAAAATGCGCCAGTCGACAAACAGACGCCTTTACGAGCGAGTCTCGTTGTCGGAGGCGGAATTCGCTCGATGGAATTTTTCCTCGTTTTCGTCGCGCACCGTCGAGACCGACGAGACAAAGCGGGATCTTCTCTCGCGGGAGTTACAGCTTGTTTGCTTTCGTTCACGAACTCGTTAATGCCACACCTGTTCTTCTTTCTCTTCTCTCTTTTTAATGATCGGCCGACCGAACGATCGTGATGAATTATTTTCCTTCGCCGGGGAGAAAATACGGAGACAGCGCTACTGATCATACCGTCGTTTTCTCCCTGTCTTCAACATCTGACATTTATGTCCCACGATATCGGCGAGGAACGGATCTTTCTCTCTCTCTCTCTCTCTTAAAAACCTGATTACTTAAACCTGATTGTTCAATTATCCGATCAAACTGCGGCTCGCAATGTTCCTGCTGCCCCAGTCAGCGACAGTGGCGAGGAAATGATATTCTTTGAAAAATGTCTTCGTTGGTACCCAACGCAGTGTATAATTATACAACGCGTTTGACTCCTCGTTTTGCATATTACAGGGTCACAGTATGAGGAAACGTTACAACTTTGCGCAAGCACTCAAGTATAACGCGGTGAAAGTAGCGGGGCATTTTTTACCGACGGGACAGAATCGCTTTAACTTGAAATAAAGCCATCTCTTGTTGGAATTTAGGCTAGATCCCCCGAGTTGGACGTTACTTTCCCGGCATTACGCTATCGTACTATCACTTTACCACATGTTACTGTATTGTAACATCGCGATCACGCTCCCTCCTCGTTACGTATTTTACTGTTACGACGATTATCATGTGCTCGTATCAGCTCCGTTAAGAACTCGCGACTCACCGTGGAGCCGGCGAGTATGAGGCTCACAGCGAGCGAAACATGGCCTCTTTAATCAACTGCGCAAGCCGTTCGTCGCTGGTGTACCTTGAAAACAATTAAAACCGATATGACGGCTGCGAGCACCGAGCGCGGTAGCATCAGATACGGCGTTATCGAATACGGAGCGTCCCAGAAGCGGATTGCTGATAACCGAACGATCATTCCGAACAATAGGAGTTGAATTTCATTTCTCAAACCACGGATCTCCCATTTTCTGGACCTACCGTTGTCTTACTTCTACTTTCTTCTTTTCTTATGTCGCGTTAGCAACGTTATGTTTATCTTGTTTATCATTGCCTTTGGAGACGTTTCGGTCTCGCTGCCGACGTTTTGCCGAACGTTCGACAGAAGCTGCTCGCTCGCTCTCTCTCTGTCTCTCTCTCTCTCTCTCTCTCTCTCTCTCTCTCTCTCCCCCCCTCTTTCCTTCTGTCTCTCTGGTTCATTCGTCAACTGCAAGCGATCTTCGTGTCGCATAAGGCTTAGTCTACAACGAAGCGATTTAAGCTTTAAGAAATTGACCAACTGACCAGTCGAATATTCTCCTTAACTTTGATTGTGATTGGTCAGTTTCTTAATACTTAAGGTTTAAAGTGCTAAAGTATTTAACGTGTTGGGAAGTATCCAATTCACTAAGGCTAGAAATTACAACTTAAACTTTGTACTTTAAGCCTTAAGTCTTAAGGAATTGATCAATCATAGGTAACATTAAGAAGAATATTCGACTACTAATCGGTCAGTTTCTTGAAACTTAAATCATATGTTGTAGGCCCTGAGACCTGAAGGTACAAAGCAGTACGAAGAAAAGCTGAATGTTCCCGATTGATTCCACAAGGTCGAGAAATTTATCAGTGGCTTTCGGGACACCCTATACAAGCTATACATGTCGATACCGTAACGTTACGAGCTGGCGTACGTATGCGTGCATATAACGCAACACGCACGGAACAACGAGAAGATACGGCCTCTCACCTCTTCCCGTGGCGATCGACGCGCACCTGTCCGTGTCCGTACTCGTGTGGCTTTTTCACGGGCACGAAAACTCCGTCGCCGTTCGGACGACACGACACGGGGAGGAAAATCGGCAGCGACGCGCCGATCGTCGTCAGAAACTGCTCCGCTACTCCGACCGCTGCGTGAGCGCTGCTCCTCCTCTTTTTTCTCACCTTTAATTCGTTATTATTATATGTTGTGTTTCGCTCACCCGTTATCGCATCACTTATCATTCCGGCCGATTCTTATCACCGCTCGTCGCGGATCCGTGCGCGAGCGCGAGCTACGTCGCTCGGCGATCATCGCGTCGTACGGATCAGGGCCGGCGCTAGATCGAAAGTCGTCGGCAGCGGCAGCAAAGGGTCGCTTCGCGATCGTTGTGCGAAAATCACGAGGACAAGCGAAAGGATAGATGGAAGTTCATATCCCGGAGAGGCTGCGACTATCCAGTTCTGTCCAGTCGAAGAGATTAGATATTAACTTGAAATTATGTTATTGGATCGTCTCCGCTTCTCCCTCCATTCCTAAACGTTTCATTCAAATCGGTTTGCTCTTCGTCGATCTGCGAATTGGTTTGTAAATATGTAAATTAGTTCAAGCGCTGTGAATCGCGTCAAATTGTGGGTTGACTCGAAGAGTAAATTGAGAGAATGAAATTACCCTTGCTCGAAATCGCATATTCCGCTTTGCGTCTCAATTCTTCGAGCAAGTCGAGTCAATTTTCTTGCGCGTAGGACAGGTGTTCTGGGAAAAGTTTGTTATTAGCTCTTTTTAGGCTCTTCGTTAAAGAGTCTGACTTTTGAGATGCCCATACTTTCCGCATCAGCTACGCAGCTGAGTAGCGTATCAACGTGTCGGCTATGGAAATATGCAATGAGCAATTCGGCGATTGATCTCGATTCTCACTTGAGGTTCTCACTGTGCTTCGCGCTTCTATCTCGTGTTTGGACGCAGCGCGCGAGCCTGTTCCCTTTTATTTTCTACTAATCAAGTGCTTCACAGAAGAAGCTCATTGCTCAATAGCCACTCGGTGCTGATACTCGGTGCGCGCACTCAACTGTGAGTGGTCCACCCATTAACCGCAACGTTTTTAAACGTTATATTTACTTTTCCCAAGGTGTATTCTCAAAAACACATCTGATATAACTGAACGGAAGCAATCCGTTGTTATTTTAGCCAAACACTTCATCATTTTGAGAAATGTTGCTTTTCTACCGTTTAACGTTCATTAGCAAAAAGAGAGGCAGGAGGAAAGAAGAGAAAGAATGCTAAGATCGGGTCAACCTACTTTCGATCATCTTCGTATATTTACGTGACGTGAATAATTCTGTGAAGCACGGTTCCCTCTCTCTTTCTCTCGCTCTAAAACGAGCGACTCGATTACATTGTGAAACTGCATTTTACCTTAAAATTTGTCCGCTCGCATATTTACACAGAGCTGATCTACGACATCCGGTGAAGTAAACGAGAAAGTATGCGAAAACTGGTTAACGGAGATGATCCCCTTCGGTGAGACCCGGCCCGAAGTTAGAAGTCGAACTGTGGTCCGCTAACGATGACGCGACGTTCTCATTGATTGTTCTCAATACCACCGATGTCTTCTGCAGATGTGAATAACAGCACATTAGATCGAGAGGAAATCACGCAGTAATTTTGCAAACTCGCGTGCCTTCGTGTCTAGAAAGCAGCAACGAGGAGACTGATCCGTACACAATCGTACCAGATAGAGGTATATTTCCCACCACTCGAATGCTCGTCCCCCACCATCTGTACGGCAGCTCATATGATCGTCTTGACAGATTCGCAGTGCGCCAATATTATTTCATAATTTTTCTACGTAATAAATAAAAATTAATAAATAAATCAAAATTATAATAATTAGATATTAAATGTTTGTTACAGAGTTTGTTGTAGAGTTGCACCAGGACGAACACTAACAATTGTGCAGAAACAATTTTCAATTCATAATTTTCAAATGCGTACTTGGAATTGCAAAAGTTTCATACACTTCCGGAAAAGAGAAATTCAGAAGTGATATCTTACACAACTCAACGAGCGTTTATCTGCATTATTAGACGCAATTGCAAAAAGTTCACAAAAAAATGCTGGCTTTAGTTTCTACTAAATTTTGTGAGAACCGATTATTTTTACGGAGACACTAATAAAGACTGTTCATCTTACGGGATTTAGCGTACCAGATAAATCTCGCTGTGCATTAGCGCCCTCTTAGGTATATCACCGACGAGGTAATATCAGAAGAGCGAAACCTGAGAGCGGCCAACACGGCATTTTCTGCGACACTGGGAAAGGACGTCATCTGCATCCATTTTGAGAGAGAAACTACGATGCTACATCCACTCTCGGTGGTAAAATCTGCATGTGGTGGAAGTCCATGCTACATCCACTTTCAGGAGGTTTATGTCCGTGCTGCAACCATAGTTGCCACAGAGAGGAACCTGAGAGCGGCCAACACGCCGTTTTCGGCGACACCGATTTTTCGCACTGGGAATAGGCGCCATCTGCATCCATTTTGAGAGAACTACGATGCTACATCCACTTTTAGGTCTTGGTGGTAAAATCTGCATGTTGTGGAAGTCCGTGCTACATCCACTTTCAGGCGGTTTATGTTCGTGCTGCAACTATAGTTACTATCTCTATGCCAGACTATGCCCGGAGGTCTAAAAAGAGCGGGAGGGGAAGCAGGAAAAATAAAAGTACGTATTAAATATTAAATTCTCTACATACATGTTGCCGTATCAAAGTCTCCTGTATAATAAACGATTTGATACGTTTGGAGACGCATGATGTATCGTTGCCCGCGTCCCGTTCCCTTCGTCCTGCTTCTCAATTCAGCATCCCGTCCGCTCCGGACATTCGCTCGTGGCACTGACAGTGGCCGTCGGTGAGCATTCGATCCGCTCGGAGGAGCACATGTTAATTAACGCGACGAGACTCCGATTATATTGGATTGGCAACTAAGTGATTGCGGATTTTAAATAAGAATGAAAATTCAAAATTTTTAATTTGCTTTTTTAAATTTTTTTCAATGCATGTATGCGATACATTGAGCTTCTCTGCAATATCACGTGTTGTGCTATGACGATCTGAATCGATAATGGCCTTGATATGGATCTCATCGACTTCAACTGGACGGCCAGATCGTTGAGCATTTTTCAATGAAAAATCACCAGAACGAAATCTGGCAAACCAATTTTAACACTGCCTTTCTTTCAAGGCTTCATTCCCATACACGGCACATAACTTCTTGTGTGCTTGCGATGCGTTCTTGCCTTTTCGGAAATAATACAATAAAATATGTCTGAAGTGCACGTCTTGTTCTTCCATTTTTAAATTGGGATAAAAACAAAACTAAAGAACTAATCGATATAATTTTTGTACTAAATGAAAGGTACAAGTCCAAACAATAAGAAAAAAACATGGGTTAGGTACTTTGAACACGTTAACGAAACAAAAGAAAGTGTAAAATCCATCTGTCGACAAAATCCGCAATCACTTAGTTACCAACCCAATAGTATCTCGTCGGTGGCGTATCTAAAACAGTCGGTATTGTCATCGCTCTTGAATTACCTTCAGGTCGAATGCAATGGCATGTGTGTTTTCGCTTCCGCTATTTTCTTCACATACCTGAATAGTAATTATTATTTAATGGACTGTATACTTCGACAAAAATAATGTCATCGACATAATTCTTGGTCATTGAGGACTTCATATCTGTTGTTTCTATAGTATCTTTATTTTCATAAGCCTTGTATATTATTTTATAAGAAAAGTATCACAAATGATTTCTCCAACAATTGGACGATGAAACGATACAAACCACCCATATTCATCGTAAGAAATGTCATGTAAAAATTTGAACACTTTCGTGCAATTTTAATTAATTATATATAACGCTACGATAATATGTATTTATATGAATTTTACCTACAATATCAACTGTTTCGTCAGAAAATGAGTCGTTCACTTTGGAAATGTTGCAAGTCCAGTTATATATTTTCTCAAATTCAAGCAAAAAGATGATGCATTAATTTGATTTTGACGAAATTCATGAAATCACACATACATCAATTTCGAAGTAACGTTGCATATATTGCAATTAAAGTCTATCTGGCGTCTAAACAAATAGACAATTTAATATTGTCCATCTGCTACAAACATGATAAGCGCGACTTACTCGGCTTTTAGCTATCGTCATTTTTTGTTACTAAAATGTGGTCTAGAAATATCTTTGATGTTCAGTCTGTGAAGTTCACGAATTTCGCAGATAGTCTTTAATCGACGCTTTTCCTCGAAATAGATTTGCAAGCTAAGTATTGTCGAAATTCGGATAAAAATGTATAACAACATATTCGCCGCACCACTTCTCATGCAAACAGTAACAACATAGCGCACTTGTCAACAAGATAACTCAAATGCACCACAGAAAAGGTTCAGTCTACAATATGAAATTCATACGAAATCAACACGGATTACACTCTGGGACACACAATCACCTGGGAAAGAACCTCGCAATTCGGATTCTGACATATAATACATATATATATACCTATGTGTGTAAATATTGGTGTAATATAGTTAAGTATTTGAAATACTAAAAACTCTCTGGAAATTTCTGGGGACCGAGGGAAAACGCGGATTTACGCTACGACTAAAAATGATTACGTACAAACACTTACATCCTATTCGTTATTGCTCCGTTATCTGTATATAACACATCTATATGTATCAAGAAATTATCAAAAAAGGGGTGTGAGAAGACTCACAAACGCGCGGGGAAAGTAATATCACTCTGGAAGTAGATGCTGATGGGCTGTCGAGCAGCAAATTCAAAAGTTGCGACCCAAGTGCAACTCGGGCTGGATAATGAACACCTTCCCGACTCGGCCGCAGTTTGACCTGTCCTCCATCGCCAGGTAATTTCTCATTGGCACAAGCAGTTCGTCGTACGGATCAGTGTTGAGCTGATACTCCTGCATGGCCCTGTACACGGCCTTGAATGGTGGTTGCTTCTGCGAATGGAAAGTACCGCGCGAGCCGTGCAACACCAGAGCACCATCTCGCTCCGCTTCGTTGCACACCGACATGTACATGCAGTGGTCCGGCCTGTAATTATAGCGGCACGAGTACACATACAGCTTCTCTGGGTGATAATGGAATATTATGTTGATTATATCCTGATCGCCCCAGGTGATCTTCAGCCGGTATTCTTTGTGAATGGGAATCACATAGTCCGTCCATCGGAACTCCCTCATCCTTGTCAAATTCATCAGCATCACGCCGGAATTCACACCCAGCTTGCCATAATACGGATGTTTGGCGAATCTGTTGTACCAACCAGTGTTGGGGTCTTCATGTTCAGGACTGAGAGCTGCTAGCTGGCTAGAGTTCATCTTCTTGAACTCATCCCAGATCTTCTCCGGCGGCGCCAGAAACAGGGTATCTGTGTCCACATAGAGCACCGCATCCGTGTCGTTCAGTACGGTCTGAAAAAGTGCAAATCTTGCGGGTCAAATTCCACTGGAAGCGACTTAAGATATCGGATAACGTCGACTCACCGGCAGAAACAGTCGCTGAGCCGCGCAAGGCTTAAACAGCTTTTTCCACATGGCCACGTCGCTACCCTCGGGAAAGGTAATGGGTCGCACCACAAAGTCGAAAGTCTTGTTGGATATGAGCTTCCATTCTGATAGCTTCTCACTGAAGGCCGGTATCAGGTTGTTCTCCGCCAATATCACTAGTTGCAGCGGTCTGTTGGCGAAGACCAACGCCGACTTGAGCATCGTCAGGGCCTCGTATAGCCTGTCTCCGCACACTACCACGCATATCGTCACCTCGCTCGTCGCCGTTGTCGCTGGAGTCTTCTTGTGGAGCAGCAACAGGCGCTCTTTGCCGGCTGCCTGCTGGTCGTACAACTTATTGGAAAAATTGCTGGTCACATTGAGCAATATGATGAGCGCGGCCAGGATAAGGCACAGCAGGAACAACTTGTAAACGTATCGCATCGCGTCGCGCGCTTTATTCAGGCCTCACATCCGAATCGCGCCGTCGACGATGCTGCGCATCGACGCCCAGATACCTGACGGCATTTTGTCACCCGCCTCTCGCCCCTCGTCGACGATGATTCGCCGTCGCGGAACACGGTGAATTTCGGATACTCGGATGCCAGTCAATGCTCGGACCTCTTAGGTTAGGCATGTGAAGGTTATGTTAGGTATGGTATGGTTAGGTTTGGTTAGTTGGAGTCAAACCAAGGCTAGGTTAGGCTAGGTAACGGCGAGCGCCATATTTTGGCGTCAATTCAAAGCGTTACGTCGTTAACAAGGCAAAGCGGAGAGCTCGAAGATACTTACGCTGCGAGTGTCATTACATAATCATGACACGTCGAATAAAATGTAGATAAAGCGGCGTAAGTGCGAGCGTGAGATTAGGATGTTGCGAAATTCGCAATATATGTTACAATAATTAGCAATAATAAACGTCAGCGATAATAATCACTACAATTTTAATTTAATATCACGATTGACAGTACGATTTATTGTCGAGGCAAATCATCACGCGAAATGAACGACTGGCTGAAACGACAGCTGGGACAGCAGCGAGTAACGTTACATGCTGTGAGTTTGGCTGTATTTTAAGAATACTAATTGCTTCTCTATGCCGCTGATGATCTTCCAATCCACGTCTTGGTAGAATAATGCGTCAAAGTCCTGATGACCCATCATCGCTTTCAGCGTCTTTTTCGCGTCGTTCCTGCGGAATTAGCATATAGTTGACAACTCGTTCTATTCCCACGCTGTCATTTATGCAACAGTTCTTTTGACTGACTCTTCTATATTTTACAGAACATATGTAAGACTAGTTATGTACAGAGAGAAGAGATTTCGCAGTGTAATATCTCAAACGTTTTGTGTAATATCTCAACGTTGTTTAATGTATCACGCAGGCAAGATGCGTCTCTGTCAGGAAATAATAAATCCTCATGAGTGAAATGAGATACCTCGTTTCATTGTTGCCGTCAAGAAGGAATTTAGAAGTCATGGTGAAGATCTTTCGGCGGGTATCCTTCATACTTGCGCTTGACAACAAGCACTCCACTCCAATGATATTTATGATATTATAGAGCAGTCGACTTACGGTCGCTCTGATCAATGGATTTTTGTGGCTATAAAGAGTCTAAGAGTTATCAAGAGGATCTGATTGAGGCTTACGAGGCTTTTTCGCGTCAACTTCATCAGTTGAGAGTTTGACTTGCTTGACTAATTAAGATATTCGTTCGTTCGTTTACCCAGCGCCGTGTTCACTAGCCAATATCCGAATGCAAGTCGCAGGGGACAAGTGAGTTATCATGGAATCTAAGGCGCGTTGGGCGTCGTTTCGAATTCCCTTGTTCGTGTGGGTGCTCTTCAAGAATAATGCGGATGCGAGTTCGTCGAATTCGGGCCTCTGCGTGCACTGGACCGTTTTATACAGCTCCATCGCCACTTGACAGACAGTTTTGACGACGTGCGGCCTTGTGTTCTTCAGTAAACTGCAATACGACGAAGCCTCATTGCATGCATGACGTCAGTCGACAGATAACAGACGAGGAATATAATAGAAAAGTGTGGACGGTGACGTTGAAGAAACAAACGCAAACAATAATGCAGGACGGTATTTCGAGGACGGCATGGATCTTGAAGAGAATGACCTGCACAAAGTTCTGTATATACGAGGCATGTTGGAGTCCAGCAATTCCGGGTGGATCCTCGAGATGTGCATCAGCTTGATCAAAGCCGGCACGTTGCTCTGCCATCGGTCCTGCTTCAAATCCTGCAGAGCGAATTTCAGCGTCTCATGCGGGTTCGCGAGTTCCTCGGGCGCCGCCGTGTAATCGTCCTCCAGTACGGCCGTGTAATCTCCATGACTGGTCGCGGGATTAATGCCTTTCGGATACTTGCTGAATCATGCAGTTGAATTAGACGAAAAAGGAACGGAGACACACAAATAAATTGTAAGCACACAGCTCGATGTATATTATAATAATACTTAAATAAACAAGTCATCGGTGTGAGAGAGAGAGAGAGAGAGAGAGAGAGAGAGAGAGAGAGAGAGAGAGAGAGAGAGAGAGAGAGAATCGTACTCGTAAAGAAGCATAAAACTTAAACAGCACGTTAAAGAAGTCAAATGCATCATACTTATCGGATAACGCGGAGGAACGCAAGTCTCCCGAGGCAGCGGAATGTGCTGTTTCGGTAATCGGTGTTTTCGCAACTTGCGCTAAATTTGCAGTCTCATGTTGAATGGACAAGGTCGTTCCTTCTGCCACACGTGTGGTAGACTTGCCTTTTTTTTCACAACAGATATATATATATATATATTTTTTTTTATCAAAAAGCACACACGCACGGATATCAAAGATTTCGATATTGGTCGGCACTCCCTACCTGCGCCTTTACACATGGGACACGTGACGTACTTCTTACATTCCGCATGCGACATTTTATTGCGAATTTCCGTGAAAAAAAGTCGAGGCAACGACAGGATATGAGGGTGTACGATCTTCTAAAATATATCTGTGTGTATGTGTGTGTGCATATGTATATATCTTACAAGAGCTCGATCGCGGTAGTTCCGATGCGGTAGCAATTTATCTGCTTTATCTTCGCTTTGAAATCTCCATTTTAAACATGCAAACATCGTTTATGTAACCCTCGATAACAAAGTAAATAACTTTAGTATTTAGATAAGTTCAAGTAGCGCGGCATTAACGCGCATGAATTGACATATATGTTAATACACGTGTTAACATCCGCGCCACGCTGATATTATGATTTCGACGGGTATTACCGCGTGCGTCATTCCTCTCAATGAGAATGCGCCGAGAAGAATGAATCGCAAAGCGCAGTCAGCATACACAATTAATTAATTACAAAGAGTCTGACTGTTGAAGCAGTTTTGGGAAAAGACACTCGGGAGTTCTTTGAAAATAACTTTCTTACGATATATGTACAATTACATATTAATTACAGTGTCGTCCGCGAAGAGCGACCAAGCTATAAAAAACTTGTTACAGTCTGATCTGTCTTAGTAGCTGGATGCGGCGAATTTGGTCCTTCGTTAAGTCGAAACGTCGCGGTGAGAAAGAGAAAAAGAAGAGGATAAAAATAACGAATAAAAAAATTCACTTCACCTTGCTTCTCGAGAGAATACATCTTTCGCCAGCTAGTCGCAATCTTTTTCAGACTTGGTCCGATTCGACGACACGCGTCTCGTGCCGTCTCTGCTATATTACACTACGTAAATACAATTCTCAGTCGAGTTGTCCACGTAAACGTCGATTGCCCCTTATGTCCCGTCCCGACCCGTGTATGCGTGTGTGTGTGTGCGCGCGCGTATGTGTGTGTGTCGTATCTTTCATGTCGTCACTTTTACACCACAGTTCCACCTCCTCACTTTGTACACATTTCACTTAACGAAATGCATAAACGACGCGACCGCACGTTATCTTATTGGCCGTCGTTATTCGCAAGCGTTGTTCAGCAAGAAGAACCGTCCGTTGCCACATCACGACGGCGGTCTCTCCAATGCGATATTGTGGTCCAGATGATCGCAATGCATAGGGCACTGATAGTACGACACAGCGCTGGCGTGACCGGACCTCCCGGACGTCATAGGCACACCCTGGATCCACTGATCCTTGGCGGGGTCGTAAATTTCCACTATGTTTAAGAACGTCGCACCGTCGTATCCTCCTGAAGAGAGAAAGAAGACCTCCTTTTCTTCATAACGTTCCATCGCGCAACGTTATGGATCGTGCAATGCAACCAGACCTACCCATCGCGTACAGCTTGCCGTCGAGAACGGTGACGCTAAGCGCGCTGCGGGCGATACTGACGTTGCTCACGTATTCCCAGACGTCGCGCTCCGTGTCGTATCTCTCCACCGAGTTCAACTGCGAGTTCCCGTCGTATCCGCCTATAACGTATATATATTGACCTAGATTGGCCACTCCGGCGCCCGAGCGACTGCACTTCATAGCCGAGACCATCGTCCACTCGTCGTTCTCCGGGTGGTAACACTCCACTGAGCTGAGTCGTTCCTTACCGTCGAAGCCGCCGATCGCATACAGCAATCTGCCGAGAATGAGATTCTCACGTGTCGTTTCCCTCGCACCCTCGCAATAATTTCGCGATCCTTCGCCGTATTTAGTGCAATAAGGACTCTTGTGGTTAAAGTTAAATGAAACAAAGCGCAACTGGGGACAACTTTCAAGCGCGTAGAATATCGTAGAGTTACGAGACAACGAGTCTCACACGCAAACCAAGAGAGGTGTGAAAAAAGGGAGAAACTGATACGTAATTTGAATACTAAATGAAGCGGCTCGGTAAATTGACGCGCTCAACGACGCGATCAAAGAATATCGCGACGCGATGACGATGTAAATTACCTACCTGTTCACCACCGCCACTCCCACGCCCAGTCTTTTGATGTGCATAGGCTTGACGCTGGTCCACGTATCCTGATCAGGGTCGTAGCATTCGACGCTGTTGTGATACTCGGCGCCTGCGCTGCCACCCACCGCGTACAACAGTCCGTCCATCACAGCGACGCCAACCCTGTTTCTCGGCACCGACATCGGGCTGCACGGTCGCCATTGATCCATCACCGGGTTGTACCTGTCGACCCAGTCGCTGTCGTACCTGAAAACATCACGCGAACGTCTTGTGAATTCGACGTTCGCAGAGTTTCTCGTATCATCACTGCGGATTAATAAACAATCATAACGAATTCATTGCGATTCGGGTCGTGTCAAAGTGCGCTGCTCACCTGCTTCCTGGTGAGTTATTCCTGCCGCCGACTGCGTAGAACATGCCTTTGAGGAAAGCGCCACCCAAGCCGGACCTAGGTACGATCAGCTTCGCGTGCTGCGTCCACGTCTTGTCGTCGGCGTTGTAACCCTCCAGTACGTCGAGCGAGTGCTTGAGAAAACCGCCAGCGATGTAGATGACCCGGGGCGTGTTGGGCGTGCGCTCCTTCACCACCGGCTTCTTGTGCAGCGTCAGGTCCTTGAAGATTTGCGCGAGATACTCGCGGCAAGCCGGCACTTTCTTCAGCACGTCACAGTTCTTCATCTGCTCTCGCAGGAAGTTCGGTGTGAGGTACTGGCAACGCACCGCGTGCAGTATATGCTCCATTTTCGGCCGCCTCGCCTCTTCGTTGTACTTGACCCACTTGAGCACGGCATTGTACACTTCCCGCTCCTCCTGCACATTCAGCTCGTCCTTCCTAACGAGCGATACCAGCTGAATAGCGGACAGCTGCAGGAATTCCTCCTCTTGACATATCTGATTGAAGTGCTGGACAATGAACTGGTTCGCCTTGTGGTACAAGTCCTGGCAGCTGTGCTGCTCGGCAAAGTGCGCGATGCCGATCGCGTTCGTGGGATCTAATTGCCTCTCCAGGAATACGCAGCACGCGTCTATCACATTGGTAACCTGTGTCATGATGCAAGTTTAGGTATCACGCAGATTGGACTGCAATACAATATCTGCTGGGATACTCTGGGGAACCGATGAGATTGGTTCTTTTTTGGTAATATTCTTCAACTTTCTTTACCGTTCTTTAACATACTTTGCGAATATTCACGTACTTGGAACATGGTAGCTGCTGACAGCAGCGAACACACGGTAATCTCAGTAACTCTTATTTGTCCAGTATACATGAAGTACATCAAGCGAGCCATTGCGGTTGGGCACACTCCTTGGAGTTTCACCCTTGTCATTTCGCACTCCTTCAATCCTCCGGTAAACATGGCCTGAAAATTTGGAAACTGCCAATGTTGTCTGCTGTCTCTCCGCTTGATCACAGAGAAATGAATCTATCTTCATAGACATAAACAAGGAAAATGGTCAATCTTCTCTGAGACGGTCACATAAAACTCACCTTAAAGTAGGGACTAGCAGCTGCTAAAATAACTTTATGCGCATGGAACAATTCGGTACCAACTTCAAGTATCACATCAGTCAGCATATGATGACTGCGCATCATGAACATCATCTTCATGGCTTCCTTCATATAATTGGCCATGCAGAACGTCATGTCCCCGAGGTCGCCGTGCTTCTCCGTGCTGAGCGCACCCTCCCAATCCGCTTCTTCCCCTGATACGGGCAGCGAATCTGATGCATTGCTCTGAGACTGGTGGGAGCTGCCCTGAGCTTCTTTCTTCCGCCGACAATCTTTCTCTCCATCCATTAAAATGAAAGCTGCAAAACACAATAAGAGACACCGATCTTTACATATAAACGCTCCTTGACACATACCAGTCTGTCTCAATCTATCTCTATCTCAGCCCCTCTCTCTCTCTCTCTCTCTCTCTCTCTGTCGAGGCACACATTCATACGCCGATCTCCGCGCAAAGCCAAGCGGACAACATACGAACGTGACCGTTCCACCAGGAAAGGACCGTTCCAGGAAAGATCTTGAGAGACTAACAACGTCGTGACATGTATCTCTATCCGTCTCCGAGTGTATTACGCGATACTACGGAGTCACAGTCGCGCGTTGCGGCGCGCAATAACGGCATCGTAATCGCGCGATGCAGAATTGCGAGTATCACTGAAGCGTCGCACGTGACCGCGAGCTTCTTCCGACAACGGAAATATCGCGACCCCGTTGTCGTCGTCGTCGTCGTCGTCGTCGTCATTATTGTTGTCGTCTTGTCATCGTCGTGTCTCCGTCTTCGTCGTCGTTGTCGTCGTCGGCAACGGCGGCGGAGCAGGTCTTCTGGCTCGCTCTCGCTCTCTCTCTCTCTCTCTCTCTCTCTCTCTCTCTCTCTCTCTCTCTCTCTCTCTCTCTCTCTCTGTCGCGCGCATGACACTTACCCGGCTGACCGGACCGCGGGCAATCTATTAGCGCTGAGAAATCACTGGACGCACGACAGGAAGACAGGAGAGCAAGGCGCGCGAGAAGGTGGCAGCGGCAGCGACGGCGGCGTCGTGATCATGTTTCGTCGTCGCGATCGATCTTGCCGATGATACACGCCGATGACGCAGGCATCTCTCCTCCACCTCGGCGGCCGGCTCGTGCGGCGGCACACGCTCGAGCCTCGAGCCGCCAGATCGGCTCGCGACAGATGCGGCGTCACCGGCGCGCGTTTGTCCGTCAAGCAGCAGCAGCAGCAGCGAGATGCGTTTGCGACGTGCGTGCGAAAATGAGGCGATTTACATACGCACGTGCTCTTCGGCGCAAAGTGATCGTCGATGAGCGCGCAGACAGCAGCCGCACGGACTCAGTCTAAATGACGGGCGGGACTTTCTCGCAACGGCCGCCACCGTCGTCGTCGCCACCGCCGCGAGCGAGCGAGCGAGCGACACGAGATCGCTTCGTCACGATTTACCGTAGATTGCGCACGACACCGTGCACTTTTGTCCGCGCGCACCGATAGCGCTCGACTGACAACCCAACGTGACCGTGACGGTGACTCGGTAAGAAACGAGCGAAGGGGAAGTACATGAGGATTTATGGGGAACGGAGGAGAGAGTCGACGCGTTGAACGCGTTGAAAATGGAGTATCGCTGTGGGATCTCTCTTGTGGGAGTTCCTCGGAGAGAACGTCTCTTCTGGATTCTAATGCTGCCGGAACAGGGCGGCGGAGGCGGAGGGGGGGGGGGACGGGAGCACGATCCTGCGACGTTGAAATCGCAAATCGCTTCTATGAACACCGTTTTCCACGTCGTCGCGATCCACCACGTCGGATATGATTGACAACGAAACGAGGAGAAGAACCTCTCCCGAAATCCCGATTCTTCGCTCTCAAAGATTTTTGAGACTTGACTCGTGAGTTGGTTCGGTCGTACCGACGAGCAACGCTGAGGCTCGCTTCTTTGAACTTCTTCTGCAACTTGTTATGTTTCCACGGTTTTAAATAAAATTCAAAGTGTACACACAAGTGTGCGTATCCTCTTTCCCTCCCCCTCTCGTTCTCCCACTCTCCTCTTATCTTTAAGTCATTATATCAATATGTCGTGTCATGTGCTGATCGCAAAGTGTCCGAATGACTCGAGGTATTCGAAGCGTAGCTTTTTTCTCCTTCCACATGAAAAATCTTCCTTCCGTAACAAGAAACAAAAGGGTGCGACGGGTGAACGGGACAGTGCGAATATGCAGATGCTGGACAGAGCGAAAGGAGAGGGAGGAGGACTCGCTGAGAGAGAGAGAGAGAGAGAGAGAGAGAGAGACGCGCTTCTGTCATGTTCCACGACGATAGCTGATCGTGAAACAGCAATCGTGACCGTAGATGACTCGAATGACTTGCACATTCCGCAGCGGCGCGTCTCGCGTGGTGCGTCCGAGGACAGGCGTGACACGCCAGCCGCGTCAGCTGTTTTGTACGAAAAATCGGCGAGCAGACCAACTTACTTCGCCAGGCCAGGTTACCCCGTCAGATAACGACTCGCGACGGACGATACTGACGATACTGACCATCAACGAAACGATGACCCTTTTCTCTTCGTTTCTTCGAGCGATCTCTGATAATCTTGCGTATCATATTATATCATCCTCGTGTTCCGCGGCTTTCTCAACCGAGAACACGACACTTTTGGAGCACCTGGTCGAGATGAGCCTCAATAAGAGCTCACGATGGCCCTCGTTACCGTGTTGTCCCTTGGAACCAAACGCTAAATCGCCTCAACTATTTCAAATTCGCTCTTTCACTCAGCCACGAGTCATACTGCGACGTCAGAGACGTGGAAGTACGCATGCGAACAATTATCGCGATTTGTATGCGCATAAATAACCATTTTCTTCTATTGCCGAACGGAACAACGATAGAGCGCGATGCAAAACGTTTGCGCGGCACGCGAACTGGAAACTCTGCCGTCGTGGGCAGCTTTAACGCGCGGAAAAGCGAAAGCTCGTCTCGCGATGATCCCGCAGCTGTTTTACCGGGCCGGAGTTATTGCGCGTAATTTCCCGCCATTTCCATTTCCAACGGGCCGCGTGCGCGCGCACGCGCGTGCGTGGTGCGTCATTCGATCGAAGATGGCCGCGCGACTATTATCGTCGAACATATGCGCGATTGTTACACAATACGTGCGCGCGAGCGTGCTAGGCGCGTGAGTACGGCGATGAGCATTTAAATTTAAATGCTCATCGCCGGCAATATGGCGGTGTCAACAAACCCGGCTTCCTCCCTCCTGGGAGGAAATAAATTGCACCCGACAGGAAAAAACAGGATTGTAGCTAAGAATCGCGGCGCCCGTCATTCTCAACACGCCGTCCACGATGGTACGACGAATTAGACAGGCAATTGCCGGGAACATGGTGAATTCGGTTAATTAAATTTAGACGAGATCGAGGAGACTAATGTACACACACATACATGCGCGCGCGCCAAGATAATATTGTATTTTAACGTAGATGCCATTCTCTCTCTCTTTCTCTCTCTCTCTTTCTCTCTCTCTCTCTCTCTCTCTCTCTCTCTCTCAAAAGACACAAAACGTAAGAAAAATTTCATGAGAAACTTAAAAGATCACTTTTGCAATTGATGTAACACCTCCTCGACGTGTGTTTAACATTTATTTCGCAGAAACGTTTGTCACCGCGTCTGCTGTGTTGTGCCTCAAAAGAGAAGAGAGTGGTACAACACTCCACACAAAACACACACACACACACACACACACACACACACACACACACACACACACACACACACACGCTCACTTTTGAGATAATATATTTATTTCTTATTAATATGGAGTTTTCATCAACAATAACAGTAGCAGTAGGCGTAACAAGAAAGACGAGGTAGGTTACGAGGAACCTAACCTAATGTCGTACGCCAACAAGTCAGCCGCGGTTGGAAGGGATCTTCGTAGCATCTGTTCCATTTCTTTTGTCTTCCCTTTCTTCGCGGCGGGTGTACGCGTGATTTCTCTACGTTCTACGACGCCGAGCAATCACTATCGTCACGATAAATCAGCGCATGTCGGGCGATTATGCGTAATCTACGCGCGAAATGTTTAATCCTCGAGCGAGAGACCGTGTCTAGCCGAACCGTCATCGCGGAGCAAAGCTCAATCGCGCGCGATGGCGCATCAAGTGCGCCACTTGCTCGCAGGCTGCTCATCTCAAAGGATCGTCGTAATTATATCATTGCAAATTGTCTTGTGCACTTTGTAACGATACAATAAGATATCATGGAGGAGAATGCGATTTTTGTTACGTTTCAAAAGGAATTTTGGCGTTTTTGAAATGACGCGCGACTCTTTTCATTTTCCATTATTCCAACGCTAATTTACATATCTACGTATGTAAAGTTATAATATTAATATCAATTTGCAGGACATCCAGGTGAGAAAGAGAGGAGAAAGAGAGGAGATGACCTGATAAATATCAGACGGCGCACTACGCGCACCAGTGCGACCGTTCGAGGATTAAACTGTCGTTTCGTACACGGTTTGCATCCAAGTGTGTGGTGTGAGAACAAGATACACGCCACGATAATTCATCACTTAATAATTATACGAACGGAAGAGCCATGCTATATTAATCTCTTAATTTACCATAAATATTAATTATACCATAAAGTCTAATGCGTTACATTATATTATAGCCGGTCCTTACCAAGTGACAAATCAAAAGGCGCATGCTGAAATGAAAAATCTACAACGCGATACATACTGATTGGTGTCTGATCGTACGGCGATATACTCTCGAAGATTTTTCTGAAACCTGTCGTTACGAATTAAGAACCAAAGGCGCGTTCAGTTGGTTTGAAATTATTAAATAACGACTGAAACTAAAAAGGAGAAGGTATACCGAAGTATTAGTATGTGATAATTGAGAAAAGGCGTAACATTTAAGCGTAAACATTTTAAAATAAAGATCGTACTGCAAGAAATCACACTGAATACATAACGACATGTTTCACGTACAGAGAAACAATCAAGAGTCATTTAAAAAATGTAAAAATAATCTCAATATAAGATATAAACTCAGACATGCGGATAAAGGAATACTTTGACAGCAACACGGAACTTTTGCATATATTAATTCATCACTTAGCATAGGATAGGACCCGTTCGTTAGACAATATTAAATAGTGGTATTACTTGGCAGGATTTTAAAATCAACGTAACAACAGTTCAAATTATGGCAGTGCTTTGTAGAATCATCTTATTGCCCGTTGAGTGAATGAATTAATTATGAATACGCCGTGAATCAACGCGACAATGGCAATGAGGCGTTCGCGTGTAAACTATGCGCGTGTGTGATGTAAATCCGAGAACTCAACTTGTTAAAATTGTCGTTCCTCGAGACAACGGCAACGGATTCTATATATCTGTATGATTGAAATGCGTAACCATGTGCTGTCGATTTCTACGAGTATTCGCGTTTCCTTTCGTCTCTTACTAGACGAACCTACTCGCGATCTTTCGCGGTGCGCGATACATGCGGATTGTACTTGTTTTCCCCTCGCATTATCAAGAACAATGCGCGATGCTATCTTCGTTTATGGAAAGAAAAGAGCGAATGCACTACCACGCGCGCGCGGCCAAGAGCATTGCGCATTGTGAGTCTCTTTTACGGAGCGAGCGAGACGCATGACGCATAGAACGAACGAAATTGTGCATTGTTATATAGGCCGGTAACTCCATATTTGACACAATATTAACACTTTGCGCATTTTGCAAGGAGATAATGACAAACACCTTGAGATGCGTCCAGAGAATATCCGATAAAACATATCAAATAGGAGAGTGGAATCTTGATATATTAATATGTTGTAAATGTGTGTGTGTGTGTGTGTACACGTCTCATCACAACATCAAATGTCTCCAACATTTTCGCAGAGTAATCTTGAAAACACATCGTGGTCGCACTCTCAAGGTTGCACCTGCAAGTTCAAAACACCTTCCCTCTCACTTGCATCTCGTTTGCTCGTCATTATCGCGATGCAACGTACTTGGAATTATGGATTCATTCATTCATCTATCGTAGCGAGACGTCTGGAAATGTTTGTTTGCGACCGTTCCGGAGATTTCGTGCGCCAAAGTGAGATCTTTCTCAGAAACGACGACGCAACTGGCGATAAGTGTATTTTGCTCTTATCTTTCCGCGGGCACGTGACGTCTAACAGGCTCTTGTTGGCGCACAAAGAAGTAGGGGGCTCGACCTTTAATTCAGTGCAATAGTGTTTCTTTCAGGTATCTTTCAGTATCTTTTAGGTTTCTTTCAGTAGAAGACACGTATGTACAAGGATGAGATCCACGAGGGACGCCGGGACTTACCGCCCTCCGAGACGCTTCACGAGAACAGAAACGTGCAACGGAAACGGAGAGCAGAGCCCTACTGAACCAAATTACCGGCTGAACCCACAGGTTTACAAAGAGAATTACAGCTAAAATTAATTTAAGTCTATCTTTGATTCCTTTTTAGGCGCGGGTGACTCTAGACTGGCCCCCTATGTTTTGTATCTTGATCACTTCCTGAATTAATCGCGGCGTCACGGAACACGCTACAGAGCTCCGCTGAAACGCGCGCGCACTTTTCAGCAACAAGAAATTTCGGAATGCGCGTGCAACTTGCTCTCTTGAAGCTCGCGACGCGACGCGATAATCTAGAGTGGTTCGGATAACGGATAACCCCGAAGGAAAAGAAAGTCCGTTCGCGAGAAGAGGGTCACCACAGAAGAAGGAGAGAGGAAAAGCGCGAGGAAGCGGGTTTCGTTTATGAGCGAGCTAAGGTCCGAAAGTTGAGTCGAGTGACGCGTAAAACGTAAGCGAGAGGACGAATGTACCAGGTTGCGAGCGCGGAGATTGAATACGCAAGAAAGACAGAAAGGAAGAGAGTAACAAAACGACGGTGAGTTCTGTTTGCTAAACGCGATCGGTTTTTCAGCGTAATCATTCAGGACACTTTCATCGACTGCGGTTCGCCGGCGCGCGCATTCATATCACACTGACATTGCACGCGCAAGTGTACAACCAAATCTCTCTCTCTCTCTCTCTCTCTCTCTCTCTCTCTCTCTCTCTCTCTCACAAGACTATCGACCACGACTACTAACAAAGACAGTGACATTCTCTAATTACCGCATGTGAAAGTGTAGTCTACGATACTCTACGCTATTACCGCTGCTACTGCTCGTCTGCAGTTAGTAGTAGCATTATCATACTCGCTGCATTCGGTGATAGTCGCGCGTACACTCACACGAAGATCATTACTCGTTAGTAAGAACTCGACAAGGGACTTAGTCGTTAAGTTTCCGAATACAGCGTTTTTTTTTCTCTTTCTTTCTACCGAGAAAACTACGAAAACTAAATGTCTATCCTCTAGTATAATATAATGTAGTGAAATATTCGAGTACAGTAGTACTATAGTTATGAGTCAAGTATTTTGGGCGGATACGACTACTTCTAAGGCCTCGCTCATAAATTTCAGGTTTATTTCTCTTTCTTCTCTTCTCTCTGCTTCTTGTTTTTTGCTTTTATCCCTTTTTAAAGTAATTAGTCTCAAGTTAGTCTCATACATCCACGCTACTATATCTAAGTTAAGTAATAATTAACGAGGCTAGACGAGAATTCGCTCTGTTTCTTCTCATACATACACACACACACACACACGCACGCACGCACGCACGCACGCATACACACACACACACACATTCTCTCTCTCTCTCTCTCTCTCTCTCTCTCTCTCTCTCTCTCTCTCTCCCTCTCTCTCATCGAAGTGAATTGAAAGAATTCATATACGAAGATGGGACATGCACATCGATCAGTAAATAACAATTATTCAATTCCGATAATGTTTCATTTACAATTCCTGAATGAAAGTTCACCTATCAGTCTAGTAAAACCGTCAGAAGTTGTGTTTTCGCGAAGTCGCAGCGAACGATCGCGCGATTATCGCGTTAAACAACGATAATCTCTGATTCTTACTTCACTAAAAATGCATATGTTACATTAATAACTCTCACGTAAACGTAAAGCAAACTATCATTGATCGACTAAGTTGTCACGTGATACCGAGCTTTTGGCACTGCTTCGTTAGGAAATGATCGGGAGATCCGGCTGCGACATCTGTTTCCCCTTCTCTCTCACGTACTTGCCGGACCTAACTTCCGGTATCTTGAGTTTATAACCCATTTGCTTTCCTTCTTTTACGAATACACGTTTTTAGACTCGATTAAAATTTCATCCGCTACTGATTTCCCCCTCTTCATTTCGACAGGCGGGCGATAATTGTGTAAGATTATGAGTCTCGCAGTTAAGTGGTCATTCTACGCCGAGAGTCCATCGAGCGAGTCTCTCTCTTTCCGTAGTCACAGGCATTAAAGTGGCAGTATGCAGTCCAATTCGACGAAATTCAGCGTTTCTCAACTTTCGCGTAATAATCAAATGGCAAATAGATAAATAACCGACAGCCGACAGTTTGAGTTTGTCATCGTTTTGTCCGAGAAACATTCTCTATCATATTTACAATGTCCGTTTCGGCGAGATGAGAGAACAATATATATATATATATATATACATATATATACATATATATATGTGTATTATATATATTATATATATATATATATGTGTGTAATCTGTTTTGACGTATATTTACACTCCCCAGAGCGACAATATCTATATCAGTGGATGCTGTAGCGCGTTTCGCGTTTAATGAGTTGAAAAGTCGATAGTTCTTTTTTTCTTTCTGGAGGAAATCCCGTGTATGTCGTTACGTGCGACCACGATAGAATAACGGAGCGACACATGTATATATGCATGTGCGCGCGCGCGCGCGCGTGTGTGTGTGTGTGTGTGCGTGCGTCCGTGGATCGTCGAAAAGTTCAGAGTTGAGAAACGCTGCAGGCGTTGTAAGATCTGATATACCATAGCGATCGAGAGAGACTCACCCGGGCTGCCGGTTAATGTAGAGTTAAAATGCCAACAAGAAAATATCTTAGTATTCGTATGTACCTCGCTACCTATTTAAGACATCTCTACTAAAGTTTATAGCGCACTTTTGTTCATCAACGTATCCTATATTATCAATGTACGTAACAACATATGAACAATTAAAGAGAGATCTCTCCCCTGTTTCTAGTCCCGACTGTCTGTCTCCTGCCGCCCTCCTACCTCACGCACAAAACTGTCCTCGTGTTCGAAATGATCGTGTGTATGTCATGTGTGTCTCTTCTTCGTGACTTCTCAACTAGTTAGTATTTTCTCTTGATAAACTGTATCGGATTCCTCTACAAATTGACCTATAATTCTGATATTGCTTAAATCAATTAAAGCCCCTCAGAGGCTTAGAGCGCAATTTTCCCTCGAAGCTGTCGCTTTCAAGAACTCTCTTAGCGCGAGAAGGGCTCTTCCTATCAAGGAGGATGCAAGTCGCGATGGTGAGCCCTGGCACTTATAACCGCCTTTAGCTCGGACTTGAGCTGATTTTTCGTGCGCTCGCTCACCGAACCGCCACCCACTGCTGGCAAGGTCAATCTCGGCGACGGCAGGTCCACCATCAGCTTACCGTTGTCACGATTCTCGTGGCTTCTGGCACGTCGTATTGGTTTCTTGATCGGCAACGTGAACTCCTGCTGGCCGTTGTCCTGCTTAGTACTGGTCACGGAAAGAGTCATCTCTAGATTCAACATGTACATCGAACCACCAGCACGACCAGCGCCGCCGCCGCCGCCGTCGCCGTCGCCGCCGCCGCCGCCGCCGCCGCCGCCGCCGCCGCTGCCGCCGCCGCTGCCGCCACCGCTGCCGCCACCGCCGCTACCTATGGCCTCTGACGACCTGGTAAGGTCGTCTATGGTACCGGAACCCCATTCCCGCGACAGTTTTCTGCCTACGGCAGAGGTGAGTTCGCTATTTGGCGACAATAGCGGACTCTTCGACGTCTGATAGCCAGCCGAGTGCGGCGGTCTGAGAGTAGCGAACACCGGGAAGGACTGGCCTCGCTTGGCCGGACTTCGGAAGTATCTCGGCGTCAGCGCACCGCTCACGGAGGAATCACCCTTCATGACGACAGGCGTACCTCCGGTCGAATCACTCCTAGTGGGTGCCAACGGACGCAACGTGGCACTCCCGCCGAAGTGAGAGCCGAGACGTGGCGGCGGCGAGCCGCCGTCCCCGTGACTCAGTCTACGGCCGACCGTCTCCAGCGGACTTCTCGCGCGCAGATTCGTGCTGCTGAGCGTGAACTCGCGCGGCTTTATCGGTGCGTCCAGACTCACCGGTGACAATCCGAGGCGCGACACCGAAAGGTTGGTGGAGCTTCTGCTCTTCTCCGAACGCTTAGGACTACGCAACATCAGCGGGCTTTTGCTGCAACTTCTCTCTCTGCTTTTCTCCAACTTCTCGTCCTTCTCTGTTTTTGTATCCTCAGTTACTTCTGATAACATCTCGATTTCTTTGTTTTCTCGTTGAACTCTGGAAAACACACGAGGGGAGGGGGGGTTACTTTGGGGGTAATATTGATGCACAAATTCCTAAAAATTGTTCCTTGTTTGTTTGTAAAAGTAATTACGCTGATCAATGGCGATCGTTAATTGCAGATAAAAGTCTCAAGTGAAAATTACTTAACCGGTAAAATAGAACAGTCTGATTTGCCGTAATGTCTTAAATTCGAATTCTCCCTTACGTGCGAACTTGCTGGATCATCTCGAAGAACTGGTCTTTACGTCTGTTACTTTCATGTGCGTGTGCCTTCTAGAATATGGAAATGTGGTAGATATTTAGAAACCATCAGGCAGGCATGTCGTCCAAGTTCGTAAACCTAAGTCTTGCAATCTAAGTCTTGAAGGGTGGACAAGCACCCTTCGGAAAATCAATAATCGATCTCGACTTTGCTCCACTTTATTCATTACCGATTCCAAGATAACTGAGATAAAAGTCAACAAGTCTCTTGATTGTCAAGATTCGTGTTCACGAACTTTCGGATTGTATCTCAGTATATCTCAGTATATCTGTATACTCAGAGTGTCAAAGGCACGTACTCGTTTGACGCTCTTCTGGAAGAGCGATGCAAACTGGCCCTGCCGCACTGTGTGCACCAATTCACGGGCAGCGTGATGCGGCGAGACCAGATCCTCGCAATTGATGAACTTGTACAACTTCTGCGAGAAGAACATGACGTGGAGACTGCGCCAGACAGAGTCCTGCGGTTTGCGTCGCAATCGCGGCAGCATGTACTTGTAGAACAAGTGCTCGCCCATCAATATGATGAGGCCGAGCATCAGGCCCATAAAGATGAGCCAAAACACCCCGGCTACAGATGCTACTCTTAGCGGTCTGGGTTGGTCACCCGGGTCAGAAACATCCAGCATCCATACCTTGTCCATACCTTGTCGATCGCCGATACATGGCAGAGTACCGTACCTGTGCAATCGTCTCGTTTTATACGCGAAGAGTCGTGAATACACCTCGCACACATCGACTTGAGGATTTTAACGCGCTCGACACTGCGACAACAGCCGATGTGTGCCATCGATGTGCGTCTAATGCGATTTATGCGTAAAAAATATATAAAATCAATATATATATATATATATATATATCTGACAGGCATCAAACGGTAAACACGTTTTTCTATTTTTGATACTTATATTGTTCCGGCCCAGTCTGTGTATTCTACATGACAGATTTTATTTACTACTTAATATATTTTAGTCTAACGTAATTATCACGCTCCCGTTATCGCGCGAATAAAAAGAAAGTTTGCGCGTGAACCGATAATATCGATTATCCAATTTTTGCGCCTGTTTGCGCGACTCACCATTTCTCCTGCATAGCATCGAGCAAGCCGTTGCTCGTGTAATTCGCTATTATTTTAGACATGCTCTCCTTGAGCGGATGGCCCTTAGTGAGCGCGATCGCGTAAGTGTCTTCGTTGATGGTGTCGCCGATCTTCTGCAAACGGCAGCCTCCGTCGATTCCTCGATAATAATCCAAGATCGGCGTGTCGGCGATCAGGATGTCCAGGCTGCCGTTTCTCAATCTCTCCACACCCTCGGCGACGTTCGACAGGGAATAACGAGCCATGTGGGACCATAATTGCGGATTCGCTTTCTGTACGTAGTACTCGGCCGCGGATGCCCTCGGCGCACCGACCCTCTGCGACAGCAGCTGCGCAACATGACACAACACCCTTTAATGCATTCTTACAAGATGCTTGTATTCAAACAGCTAAGTACCTGAAGACAGAGTAAATATTCTTTGTAACTTAAAAATTAAACATAGAATATTCTTGTAATAGGAATAATTAATAGAAATATTTTTTTACAATGTATAATTATAAGATATAAACACATAGGGAGTTACAAGAGAGATGGATGAAATATCAAGGTATGATTAATTAATTAGAATCACAATTGGTCACCAATCACACATATAATAAAATATTAGTCATTTCATAGAAATATTAAATGATAGTGAAGACACACACTCACGCTTTTATCGTGATAATTGCTCCCTCCTAAGTGAAAAAAGAGACCGGCTATGAGGGCAGCTATATTGGCTGTGTACGAGGCTACAAAGATAACGGAGAAGCCGCCCCAAATATTGATGAGGACCTTGTTAGGCCAGGATTTGGGGGCTTTGAAGGCGACGAGGTGGCCACACAGCAGGCCCCACATTACCCACAGGGCGGACGCCAGAGAGAAGTTTTTACTGCGTTGCCTGCCCCAGGGATTCAGGCCGAACGGACTTACCCACTCGAAAATCGCAACTGCCATCGCGGTGCCGTTCAATGAAAAGAACATGACGATCCACAGTTCCGGGCTAAACGGGAACAGGAACGCGAGTAGCGATATCTCGGACCGTAACTTCGGCGCCGTGAGGAAGCTCACGCCGCTAAAGTAGTACGGCGTGGTGAAGTCCACCACTTCGGCCCGATGTGCGGACACACTTATGGATGCGAACGCCAATTGCGCTCGACCAGCCACGAGCTCGCCCATCACGCCGTTCCATGTGCCGTTCCTGCCGTTCCGTTTGCCAAACAGACCGTCTTCGGCCAGGTACAGGTTGAAGCGGAAGCCGAGCTCGCGTGCTACCAGTGTCAGCAGGTCCATGCTGAGGCCGTAGCAGCACGCTACGGTGTCACCTTGACGACAGGTTAGACCGCGCAGGCAGAAACCTTCCTGCAGCTCCGTCACCATAGTGAACGGTGATGCCAGCGCGGTCACTATGCGATACACTGGCATACCGATCCTCTCGCCACCCTGCTCGAGATACGCCGGTACGATGCCACCGCCTGGCCAAAGTATCGTGTCCAGGCGCACTTCTTTGCCGCCCTTGATGGTACCGACCTTGGTCCACCTGTGGAAACGTCAACGATATCAAACAAGGCTGCTTCCGAACTGTGAGCAGCCTTAACATAATATTAACGTATATTAAAATAAAAAAGTTTATAAAATGACGGTTATTATATATTAATATACGTTTGGATGAGAGATCGAGTTGAACCTTAATTGAGTCTTATTCCCGGGAAATCTGACAGCTTGCAGATTCAGCAGCTGGAACTCTGCCTTATCCTTGGAGATCTGTCTCATGGACTTTCTTAGCTTCTTCGTCAGCGTCGTAGATACGTTTTGCCGAGCGTCACTCATCAAGAACTTGGCGTTACGTTCGGGGAAGCATTCCGGCACAAAGTACTCTTTGAGCTGCGTCTCTCGCAGTCGACTGATCCTCCCTTTTGTCTCCAGGAAGGTCTCGTCCAGTGCTTGCGACGTTTCACGCAGCATCCTAGACAGTATAGTGTCGCCACCCATGATCTTGATGCCGGACGGTCTGAGCGCGAGCATGCCGACCGGCATGAAGCTCTTGGAGTTGAGTTCCTTGTCGTTGGTAAACCTGGTGTCATCCTCTTCGTCGAAACGAAAGCTCTTGTCTTCCCGTTTGCTCACCGTTTTCTCGTCCTTCCATCTGTATTCCTGCAGTCGATGTATGTCGTTAGCCAGATTGGGCAACGGATTGAGCGATAGTCCTCGTTCGTTCGACACGATATTTGTCACCCGCTCGAGTGGCGTCTTATCGTCCGTCTCTGCGATCGCGGTCCTCTGGCTGTGGAGGATGTGCGAGCTGATGATATTGGGCTCGTTGGGTCGTAGCTCTGCCTTCAGATCTAACCACAGCCATAAGAATCTGCCCGAGAGCATTTCGAACTTGCCAGCAGCCCCAAGAATTTTCCGCGCGTTAATCAGGTCGCAGGCCATCACTACGACTCCGCCGCTACCACCCTCCTCGGCCACCCGTCTCAGTCGCAATCTCAATGTCCTGTCGTTCGTTGGTAAGTGTATAATCGCGCGTGGTGTCAATGTCGGCTGCAGGAGATGGGTCACTGGTAACAAGGTGGTGTCGATGAGGAGGGTGAACGCGTGCCAGTTAGCCCGATACATTAAAGCGGCAGCCGCGGCTCCGACCTCTTTGGAGCTGGAACCTATGCGATTCTCAAACCGACCGAGATTTCCCTGTAATCATTTGCAGCGGTTAGTTATCGGCAGAAACGGGCAAGCGGCTGTGACCTTTTGGCGAAACTCGAGCATGCACGGACCAGTATAGTACGAACCTGACGGAGAAAGTCTTTGTGTGTAAATGGCAACCACAGAGCTGGTAGGTTCAAGGCGGCAGCAGCCGTGACGAGAAATCTAGCTGCCGATCCTCCCCCTATAATAAGGCTTAATACTGTCTTTCCACCTTCGATGTCTGTACAAAATTTGTTTAACAGTGTCAAGGGATATGACAAGGAATCCGTCATGGGTGTCATCCTTGCTTCTATATACGACACATCCATGTCCGCGTGAAAAGATTCCAGTCTCGCTTCCTCCCATGCTCTCTGTACGTCTGTCTTGAAAGGAGTCTGAGGCTGAGTTAAACATACCACTATCCGCCACGATGCGTAAGACGACCTCAGCCGAGCCTTGGCAGCTCTGAGAGACTTAGCAGCATCCGCAGTGCCGGATACTAGCACAGAAGCCCCTAACAAGAGGAGAATTACCACTCCCGTATAGGAACCGGGCATCTTCCCCACTTTTCCTGTACACTTCCCTTCCTCTTTTTCTATTTAGCTTTTCTCACGTGCATTGTCACAGCGTGGATCTAATCTGCAAATGACACATTGCTATTAATAAGCAAGCAAGTAAATCTTTTTATGTGTTGCTATTACGAGCACTCAGTCAGGCAGTCATGCTTTCTATGTACAATTTTACAAGCAAAACTTGTGTATACTTCTCTCTCTCTCTCTTTCTTTTTTCTCTTACATAATTAGATGCATACGACTGTTAATACTCATAGAAAAAAATTCTTATATCCTCATAACTGAGAGAGATAATAATCTTACCAAGCAATATAAAAGAATATCACATGAGAGAGATATCTATATATAATTATAATATAAAATGATAACTAAAAACACGCACAATTCCAAGCACGTAACATGTATATTCCACTGAAATCTCCCTCTAAGTTGTGCTATCAACCCCCGTTCCGCAAAATATTCTTACGTTACATTTGCCGAGAGAAGGATTTCAGCCGTAAGGGCTGATGATCTTGCTCTACTTTTTCTTCCGCAAGTGACATCCCACCAGGATGACCTTCTTGGCACAAGCGAGCATACACATTTCGCGTGAACGCAAATGCACCTTGGCGAGAGATTCCAGTCACACTCAAAAGACGACGCGAATGCGTTTCGCGAGAGTACACAAAACAGAGACGACCTTACCTCTTGGCGGAAGAGATGGAAGGTCGCGCGTCTGGAGGGGGTTTGAGAAGAGCACAGGGATCGCTTTTTGGCCACCGCATAATAGCAATCGATGGGTAAACCGTGTCGATCGCCGCGAGGCGGCCGGTCAATTGGTCCGTGTTGGAAGACAGGGACGAAGAGCCGTCACTTGTCCACCCCCGGACGATCTACCCCGTGCGTAACGGCCATTTTCGAGCAGCCCCTCCCTTTAAATTTCACCCCTGTGGCCTGCGGTCCACGCGAGCGCGCTCAGCCATTCTCATCTATTGCGCCTGTCTCGCTCACTCTCTCTCTCTCTCTCTCTCTCTCTCCCTCTCTCTCTTTTTCTCTTTCTCTCCGTATATGTGTACATGCGTGTGCATGTGTGTGTCTCGCGCGTGTCGAGTGTGTATAACGGCGGCTCTTCAACAATACCACTAACACTCGCGGATTTTGCTGACGCCCGTTATAAATGTCTCACGACGTCCTGCGAATTAAAAAAGAACAGATTTCGCGAGCTTCTCTGATGCGAGGTCTCTCGGAAACGGCGACCTGATTTCGAGGAAGGATTCTTCTTTGGTGCAACGTAAGATCGATCTTTTTTCGAGCGAGACGTCAAGGAAATAATGGCTCTCCACTTGTGAGAGATTGAAAATGGTGAATAACGTTATTTATGAACTCAAAAGCGAAACTGACGCAGGTAGAGATTTATGAAACTCGGCCAGCAGCTCTCGAAATATAAAAAGAACAGATAAAGTTTTTCGATCTTTCGCATCGATAATAAAGCATTATTGCCCAGTTGCACCAACATTAGTTTAGTTTTAAGTGAGACTTAAATATATCTCTGTCTTTATTTATTTAAGTAAGAAAGAGAAAGATAGACTTGTGTGTAAGTCTCACTTAAAACCAAAATAATGTCGGTGCAACTGGGCCTAAGAATAATAAATTAATGTAATAAGAAATATAATAAATTAATGTAATAAGAAATATAATAAATAATTAGAGAAATAAAATCTTCGAAATCAAATATCAACTTCGATAGCGGTATTCCGTATAACTGAATTTATCAAACAAATATCGTTCATCACGGTAATTTCAGCAAAAATAATTCTATGATGTGTCTCTCAGATAATTCGAAATAATATAATATCTATCGATTTGTTACGATTCTCGTTCCACGTGCGACGTTCTTACGTAGTCAGGAAACAAAGAGATATTGCAGATAGAAATATGGAATACCGGAATCCCTTCTCATTCCAGCGACAAAGCAGAATGCTTCTCTTTCGACCGGAAAATATCTTCGTATATTTGGGATCTTCTTTTTTTAATTTACATTTGAGTTATATACATATATGTTACGCCATACTGTCATAATTGGGGGGCGTTTTCTTTGTTTCTTTTAACTAGGTTTACAAGGCGTTGAAACAATAAGGAGGATGCTTCCACGAAGCGCTGCTTTCATCTTGTCGTCGTTCATGACGATTATACTTTCTCCGTTCTTTCTCTAATAGCTAAAATAATGTAGTCGGAATGCAGTTACGCGGTTATCTCTCACAGATAACGAGATCCCCCCTCCTCCCACGATCCGCTGTTCTCCTGTTCTTAGCTCCCATTCCGCTAGGAACTAAATTAATTACAGAGACAGGTTCTCGATAACAGATAACGGGGATTAAAATTAGCTAAATAGATTTTGCTGCGACGCGTCGTTCTCGAACGTGCTCCACGCGTTGTTCAGCTCCATGAAGATCAACTTTGCTATATTCTCGTTCGCCGTGCCCGCTTGCTGCAACATAGAGACGCACAGATTTACATTGTAATCGAGATCACGCGTTTTGCATCACCGTTTAAACCGCGAGTCTCATCAAACGGTTGATCAATCACTTCTCGAGTACAGAAAAGTACGGAAAAAACAATCGTAGGAATCGTATTTGCACGAATTCAGATACCTTATCCGGATGCACAGCTAAACAGGCTCTTCTATATGCTTTCTTCACATCCGCCGCCGTGACCAATTGATGCATCTCGCAACGCTGCCACCGGTCAGCCTCCGGCCACAGAACCGTGTGCAACGAGCACAGCAGAGCGCGCAGATTACCCTTCTTGCCCTCGGTCCATTCCGCGATCTTGAGCCGGTCAGGATCCATCGTCTTGGCCGCCTCCACTTTACGCATCTGATTTATTGTCTTCGGACTATCTTTCTCAGCCTTGCGCGAGCTGAAAAAGTTGTATCCTTGACTGCCGAGTAGATCCTCGAACGCGTCGCCGCTCGATTTCTCCTTCGTCGTCTTGTTGCCGAACACGTCCGCGTTGTTGGCCGCATCGTTGTTAGTGGTAGCAGTGGTGGTGGTGGTGGAGATGTTGGATTTGTGCATATTCGGGCTAGAGTGGATAGGCGTGCTCGCGGGCGCCGGGCTCGCCGATTGCGGTGTGTTCGAATTTTTCGGCGTGCCGTTCCAGCTGGATGTCAAACCGGCCCCTAGCGATCCCGCAAGATTCGCGAAAGGATCTTTGCTCTGCGCGGCAAAGTTCGGCACGCTGGCGTTTCGCGGGAAGTTCTCCTCGGAATTCGGACTCTTCATGTTGTTCGGCTTGGAGCCCGGCGCGGAGAGCCCACCGATGAGGTTGTTCGCAGAGTTACCGCCTAACGGGTCGAAGAGGAAATCATTCACCTCTTTAACGTTGGACGTTTGACGTTGGCCGAACAAGAAGTCGTTCATGTTCAGGTTGCTGTTGTTAGCGACGTTGCTCTTCGCGGAGTTGTCGTGCCCGAACAGTAAGTCCCCGTGGGAGCTATTATTGATTAAAGGTATCGAGTTGGCGGTCTCGATCTGCGTCGTCGGCAGGCCGAAGCCGCTTAAGAGATCATTTTCGTTCTGACTAGAACTAGAGAATATATCTAATCCTGGATTAGCCGCGGCTGCGGTGGGAGTATTTGAGGTATTACTGCTAATGTTGTCTGGCATGCCAAGATTCAGCAAATCGGCCTCCTGAAAGCTATTTTCCTCGTTCTTCGCTGTTGCTGCTGCTGCTTCTTCTTCTTCTTCTTCTTCTTCCTCTTCCTCTTCTTCTTCCATCCGGTTCTCCGTCTGTTGAAGTACCTCATGTTGCGACCCTGCATCGGTCTCGTTCGACAATACTGACGGCGTGCATTGGCTCTGCAATAACGTCGGAGCGGTTATTGTAAAGTTACATTTCTCCCGCATACTTAACGTCACTCTGCAGGATATAATTATACAGGATAATTCACTTTAAAAAGAATAGGGTGTTGTGTAAATTACTCAATACAATCTAAATCAATACAATTGCAATTGTAATTGACTTCTGTCGTACACACGACAAAACATTTTACCTCTTCCGGGCGAGAAGTGGTTCTGAAGTTCTCCAGGGTCTCCTCCATTTCCAGCGTTGAGCCGAATAACGGATCTGGCATAGGCTTGACGCACGTCTCCGCCTCCCACGGTGCCGGTATCCTCGACAGCTTCGAGTTCTCTTCGCCTATCATGACGTTCAGCACCACGCAGAATTTGCCGCCGATATCAGGCGCATCGTCCAAGTCGCGCTTCTTGAATGTCAAGGCGCTCTCGGTGATGGGCACGTAGCCAGTGTGGAAGTGCAGCGAAGCGATCTTGATGCCGATCACACGACCAAGCTGCTGTCTGGCGTGGTACAACACTACAGTGACGTCGCCGCGCACAGCGGCGTCACTGAGTATCAGGCAGACTTTGCCCTCCATCATTCCGAACAGCTTCATTTCTTCGTAGTTGGGCTTCTTCGTCGTGAAGACTAACGCGCCGTTGCTGTAAATCTCGATGTACGGTCTGCAACCGTCCCTCGCCCTGGTGAACAGCGGCACTGGCTGTATCACGATGGAGCGGAGGATCAGCGGCTTGGTGTGCGGACGTGTACCGTTACTCAATAGGCTCATATAGTTGATGCTACGCAACTCCGACGGCTGCAAGTGTGGCGGCTGGCAACGTCTGGTCGTGAAGAGCGAAATTGCCTCGTCGGCGGTGACTAAGGCGCCGCAATGAATCAACAAGGTGCACGCCACCGTAGCGCTCGCACGGTATCCATCCTGGAAAGATAAAACGTGAGCTGATGAAATCGTCGGGCATTTTCGCAGTCGCGCTCGACCTCACCCGCGAATTTATCGACGTACTCACGGTGCAGTACAACACCACCACGTGATTGAAGTCGGCGTTCAGATACTGATAGATATCTTGGCAGATCTGGTACAAGGCGAACAGCATTGGGGCGTTCGATTCAGAAGTGGCGTAAGCGAACGAGCAGTCGACGTGTTTGCCGGGAAGCCGCGAGACGTTTGGCCGACCACGCGACAGGTTGTACAGCTGTATCTTGGCCGGCGGCGGGTGTCTGGCTTGCAAGAAGGCTCTTACATCTTCCACATGATTGGCTCGGTAGGCGGATTCGATCCCATCAGCTGGGTAAGGCATGATGAGTATGCGTGACGTGAGGTAACTCGCGTCCAGCTCGGTCCTGGCCATACTCTGCTGAACGGTGTGCATCACTTTGCTGGAGGTATCCTTGAGATTACGTAGAATGTTGCCGGCACCGCCCTTGATTGAGTTGAATAGGCCTGTTCCTTGAGCCGGCGGTAGTTTGGATACCGCCGCCGTCTGCACGGGCACCGGTCGCGGAGGTGGCATCGCCACTGGAGGATTAGGACGGGGCGGTGGAGCTGGTGTACTCGTCGGCTGCGGTGGTGTTGGACGTGGTGGTGGTGGTGACGGTTTAACTGCGACTTCAATTCGCGACGGTTCTCTCGGATCAAAGTTGTTCGACTCGGCGATCGCCGCCAAGCGTTCTAACAGCGTCGCTGTTGTCAGCCTTTGGATGGGCGACACTTGCAAGCACCCTTTCACCAAATCATGCAGACATGCGTATCGCGGATTGGGCGGTAACGGTGAATACTTGCCGTTCACAATTGCTAACTTGTTACCTGCGAGAAGAGAAAAATACATTAGTTTCGACGTTTCGATACAGGAAACTGTGTGATACATTTTCAAGTAATAATAATTTATAATAACGGACATTTGTAATAAAAATGGTTAGTTTCAATCACGTGTCTCTTTTATCTTTATCGAAAGCGTTTTTAGTTTTAGTTACGATAACTTGATCTATGTGTATTTAACAAGAACGATTATTGTGCAATTTCTCTCATAGACACCTCCATGGATTCACTGTTACTTTTAATTCCGTAGATTCTATAGTGTGTTCTATTTCTATAGTGTGATTCTATTTAATTTAACATTCAATGTAACATAATTACGTTGTCTTACCTTCTGGAAAAGGATGTCGCAGTGTGATTAAAGAGTACAGTATACATCCTAGAGCCCAACAATCCACCGGAGGCCCAATTGGTTCATTGTTCCACGTGTCCATCATTTCTGGGGCGCGGTACATAGGGGTCGTGTACTTGGCCATCTGGTCCTCCAGGGTGGCGCGTTTTTGAGCATTCCATGACGGGTTCGGTAGTATCTGCTGGGTCGAGGCGCTACCGAAGTCACAGAGTTTTACAAGGCCGTCCCTCCCGAGCAAGAAGTTTTCTAACTTAATATCCCGATGTACGAACGGTTCCGGCTGCTGACTGTGCATATGATGCACCGCTCTGGTCGCTTGATAGGCAATCTTGCACACCTGGGCAAGAGTCAGTGTGTTCGCGGACACGCTCCTGAGTATATCGGCCACGGTACCACCTGGACATAGCTCGGTGACGACCAGGTACTCGTAACCCTTGTGATTTTCTCGCTCCAGCCGTTGCGCGTACAAATACTGGATAACATTCGGGTGACCAGACAGTCTTTTCAGCGTTTCTATTTCCTGTATGATAGCTTTGTTCGCCTCCTCGTCGACGGCAATAAGCCTCTAATCGTGAAAGATGGCCCAATATTAATAGACAACGATTCATATTGCATTTGTTAGTGAGAATAATTACCTTAAGCGCGTATTCTTTTCCCGTCGCAACATCTTCTACCGCAAACACCAATGCCCATCCACCTGTTGATACGACGTTTGCCACAAATTATCTAAATGTTAATAATGATACATAATTCGATTACAACAACTATATTACATATTTCTCGCTCATGTTCTCTTATCATGTGCATAGGAGCATTACTTATGCAACAATGTATAATTAAATGTCGTTATTATTTTATAAAATAAGGCACAAAAAAGGATTTCAATAAAGATTTAAGACCGTTCCAAGGATTAAACACACAAGAGTAGAAGAACAGTAGAAATACAAAATACATATTTTATCATGTTTTTAAAAAAAATTTTATTTAATCAGTGGAATAACAAAATAATTAAAACCACACTTTATTTGATATGTATTAAATGTAATTTATAGAATTTATTGAGAAGACATAATATATATACATATATATATATATGTATGTATGTATGTATGTATGTATGTATATATGTATATATGTATGTATGTATGTATATATGTATATATGTATGTATGTATGTATGTATGTATGTATGTATGTATGTGTGTATGTATGTATGTATGTATGTATGTATGTATGTATGTATGTATGTATGTATATATGTATATACGTATGTATGTATGTATGTATGTATGTATGTATATATGTATGATGCATGTATGTATGTATGTATGTATGTATGTATGTATGTATGTATGTATGTATGTATGTATGTATGTATGTATGTATGTATGTATGTATGTATGTATGTATGTATGTATGTATGTATGTATGTATGTATGTATGTATGTATGTATGTATGTATGTATGTATGTATGTATGTATGTATGTATGTATGTATGTATGTATGTATGTATGTATGTATGTATGTATGTATGTATGTATGTATGTATGTATGTATATATGTATATACGTATGTATGTATGTATGTATGTATATACGTATGTATGTATGTATGTATATACGTATGTATGTATGTATGTATGTATGTATGTATGTATGTATGTATGTATGTATGTATGTATGTATGTATGTATGTATGTATGTATGTATATACGTATGTATGTATGCGTATGTTCATTATATATATATATATTATTTGCATTATCATGTTTATTATAGAAATATATGTAACTTATGCATATATTCACTCAAAAATGAAGGTTTATATCTAATGCACATAGATTGTATAGAAAATATATTAAACAGAAAGTTCAATCTACTAACTTAAATAAAACATCACACATAAAATAATAAATATATATAAAAAGCAATATCAATAACCAATTCTTTGTGTAAATATGCCAGTTAGTTAAGATCTTAAAATATCATTAAATAAAAATCAAACAACATAGAATTACATATCAAAGGATAAACGATTAGAGAGATGAAAAGAGAATACAAAGGTTAAACAAACGCAATCTTGGTTTAAAGTGCACGGTGAAAAATCGTCTGATAAGTCAACAGGAATGTTGAGAAACATTTGTCAATATTGCGTAGGAATTGGCAGCCTTCAACAGTATCGAGTCCGCGACCGATAAAGCGATGATAGAGCACGAAAGAGAAAGAGATGACGCGCGTGAGATAAAAAGGCGAGAATATAATTGCCCGCAGCGTGCGCGCGTTTGGCCGCGTGTCAAAACACACGTTTGACACATGTCAGGAGGCGGATGCCGCGCGAGATCCAACATGAAGTCGGATTCAGCTTTTTTCCCTCTGGTCGCATCGACGTCGTCGCGTTTTGTGCGGACATATCGCGAACATCGCGAACAATATCGTCCACTTGAATCGCATGAGATCGCGATAGGTGGTGTCGCCCGAGAGCCCTGTGATTTGAAAAGCGTTCCGTGCACCATGCAAAGATAGACTCACCCTCAGCGATCAGTCGTGTTACCCTCAGCCTCACATTGTTGATCTCCAAAATCTGGCCGACGTACTCGTTGCCGGCGGTGCCGCCGTTCAGGTAACCGAGCGCGGACCTCAGATAGTCCGACATATTTCCCTTGGACTTCCCTCGGTACCTCGGGACAGCCCGTTTTCACAGTCGCGCTGCAGACAGCCGATGCCGTCCGGCCATATTGGCGCGGTGATGTCATCTGCGCACGCAGCTCAGCTCAGGTCTGTAACGGCGTCTCGGATGCAACTTCAGACGTTACTTCGGTCAAGTGAAATGTAGGTTGGATTGTTCATATGATAGATTCAGTAGGAACAATCTAGTGACTGATAAGTATGATTATTAAACGATTTGTAATCACAATTAATGAGTGACAGAAAAAAGGTGGGGCGAAAGTAGGCACCGATTGAAATTATCGATTAATCAATAATCTCTCGCGATCGAGATTGAGGTTAACAGATTAATTCTTGTGCGTATGTTGCGTAATAATTGTAGAAAATATAGATTTTTTTATCGACGTCGTTTTCATTCGAGAGATACTCATGGAGTTGAGCAGAAATATCTCCGTGTAAACAACACTGTATACCTTTCTGAGAAGTTTATTGGCGCCCTTGTTCGCGTATATACTCAACGTCCAACCGCAATGTTGATCGCGAGTTGTGAAATCTTTGTGTCCTCGTGGTCTCAGAACTGCGCGTTTAACTTTCCTATTTCGCCCTACTTGCTTACAGAGCGTGTACACGGATTGCAATTACTGACGAGGAAATTTTATTCGCTCGTTATACTTACGTGAATACTGAAAAACATGGCACAACAAACAATGTCGGGCAATGGCCTGTGGGCCCAACTTTGTCAGAATGAAGTTAGCTTTAGGCCTTTGTCTTGAAAAGAATTTGAAAGTTCGAAGTTATCCCCTTCAAAATAGAATTTTATATCTCATAAAAGCAGAGGTTCAAAAAGAGAAGAACAATATAACTTTTTAGTTAAAAATTCAGCATCATACCAAGTACAAATAATTTCCACACGAGATAATAATTTTTATTTAATACGTGCTCACTCTCTCTCTCTCACTCTCTCTCTCTCTCTCTCTCTCTCTCTCTCTCTCTCTCTCTCTCTCTCTCTCTCTCTCTCTCTCTCTCCCCCCCCCTCTCTCTCTTTTTCTCTCTCTCTCTCTCTCTCTCTCTCTCTCTCTTCTCGCTCTACAGATTGTGTAATTGGTTAATCGGTGTGAATTTAATAATAAGACAAATCTAAAATAATTGATATATGGAATCTAATATCACGTGATATGTAGTTTTTTCCTTTCGTGGCTCTATGTTATCTATCTACATGCATATATATTCTTCGATACGCCTCTCTACATATATTTTACGCAGTACATAAATAAGTCGATAAAATAACAGCGAACGTCGATGAGTCGTAGAAATAAAATAAAGCGCAATGTTATACAATTAGCATTCTAATGAAATGAAATGCTTTCTAGTAGAGAAACACACTATATTTCTCAAAATTAAATTAGTAAAATAATATTTAGCGATAAAAAATCAATTCGGCTCGCATATTGACACATATGTCAATATGCGAAATTATATTTTAATATTTGTGAAATTATCAGAGAGGCAGCTTTAAATATAAATCTATCTTATTTCGAATGTAGAAAGTGCTAAAAAGTTGAATCAACGAAATGAACAGATCTCTGGGCGCAATATGTTCCATCTGAAAATGCTTGGTTACGGATGTGAGAGCATCGATGAATATTGCGTGTGTGTAGACTGTTGGCTACGTAATTCGGAATTTCAGGGAGGTGTGTATATATGCGTACTTGTTTTGAAGGTTTGCAGTTCGCTGTCAACGTATTTATGTTCACTGCATTCATTAATGTAGCTAAGATATTGAGTTCTAATATGAAATTCTAATACGAAAGCTAATATGATGTTTTATAACGATGATAAATCCGCGCTCGTTCCAACCTATCAAGTGTCAGTTTTGAGTATGATGTTATATAGTAATAATGAAATGTATGTCTTCTCCATATAATTTATATATGCTATTTGTAAAACTTTTATTTATAGCAAAAAGAAATATCACAGTTATTCTTATTCATTATTTTAATTTATCGTAACAAATTGTACTTCAATTGTATTACAATCTCTCTATGAACTTACAGCTTGGAGTAAATTATTAAATAAATAAAGATGTCATTCGAAGAGGTGAAATTCACTAAATTGAAAACTTTAACTGATTCAAGTTTCTGGGCAAAATTTGCAGAATTGAAATTGGAAAAATTAAAGTTGGATGAAAAGTCAAAAATACATTTATGGGGCAGTTTTCCTCTTCAACCAACGAGTGAACCAGAAACTAAATTATTGATACTTGACTATGCATCGTTTAATGAGTAAGTACTGTATAAAAATAATATGCTTTCTTTTATATAGAGAACAAATTGGTCCGAGTTTAAATATATTCTATAACTTAATTTATATTAGTCATTAAGGATTAAATTTATTATATAAATCATATCAATGTATATCATGTCAGTATATAAATATATGAGATAAGCTAATATTTAGATGAATTTTAGAAATGCAGAGACAATGGGTAATAATGTAGCAGTAGCTTGCAGTGGCTATATGATTAATACAAATACTTATGAAGCATATCGTCAAATAAAGCCAGAAGAATTTATTGATACTATGGGTAAATGTATTACAGACAGTATCATAGATGGCACAGCTTTACAAGAGCCCTGGCGACTTTCAGTATTCTTAGTGCTCGCGCATTCTGATCTCAAGAAATATCAGTTTTATTACTGGGTTGCACATCCAACACCTTTCTCTCTGCCAGAGATTTACTTGACCGAGCCATTAAAACTAGCATCTAGTGAATTTACAACTGACCAAATAAATAAATTACATAAGGGATTCCTTCAGCTAGATGCAAGATCAAAGAATTTCTTCTCAGTATTTGTGTCTGACAAAAGTGATTTAAGCATTGCTAACTTATCGAAAGGAGTGGAATATGTAAGATCGAGTACTGATAAAAAAGGAGATTCAAAACAGGTACAATTTGTTAAGTTAATATCACATGGTATATATATATATATATATAATGGCAATTTTTCGTTAATACAGTAATTTTATTATATATATCACTAACAAGAGTCAGTACTAATAATCTGAAAATGATAAATTTATCTTTAATTGTACCAGGCAAAAAATGAAGTATATTTTGCGTTCTACGATCCTTGCACAAGTGCAGAACCTGGATGGCCCTTGCGAAATCTGCTGTGCCTGTTGCTGTTCCATTGCACTACATTTTGCCTTACACAAAATATTAAAATCTTGTCTATGAGATGTGATAGAATGCAAACGACTGCTGTTGTATATACACTTAGAATCAAAGAACACACAGATGTGGAAGCTATGAAGAAAGCTATTGTTGAAGGTCATTTGGTGGGTTGGGAAACTGGTGCACATGGAAAAATGGCTCCTATGATCGCGAAATTATCTAACGTTATGGATCCGACTAAGTAAGGCTTTCAAATTTCATAAATCACTCGAAATTATATTACCAAGTATGAAGTTTTACAAGTTACTCGTTTGTGCTTACGTGTTACACTAGACTAGCAGAAAGAGCGATCGATTTGAATCTAAAATTGATGAAATGGCGCCTTGTCCCTGATCTAGACTTACAAAAGATCAGTGGTCTACGATGTCTTCTGTTGGGCGCCGGTACATTAGGATGTTCTGTGGCGAGGATACTCCTTGGCTGGGGTATTAATAATATTACGCTCGTAGATAATTCCACTGTTTCGTACAACAACACAGTTCGTCAAAGCCTGTATACGCACAAAGATGCGGTGCAACGTCGATATAAGGCTCACGCCGCGAAAGATGCTTTACTTAGGATACGTCCTAACATGGTAAGTCTCTTGTATAGTTATATATATTACAAATATATAATTTTCTAGCAAGATAATAATCATCAGAACTTGAATTGAACAATTAATAAAATGCAAAGATGGTCAAGTACTTTCGCTTTCTAAATAATACAACGTACATTAGAAATTTTATTACAGACATTACTTAATATTTAATGCTGCAGGACGTGGAAGGTGTCGTTTTGCATATTCCTATGCCTGGACACGTGGTCGGTCAAAGTATGATGGAGAAGACCGAGGAAGCTGTGAATAAATTGCAAGAACTCGTGCAGTCCCACGACGTGGTGTTTTTGCTTCTGGATTCACGAGAAGCCAGGTGGCTGCCCACTCTTTTGTGCGCCACGATGAATAAGATAGCTATCAATGCCGCTTTGGGATTCGATTCATACACAGTACAGCGGCATGGTACGCGCGATGTTTCCGTTCCTCCTTCATCCAACATTTTGTTAGTGCAATATCCTGAAGGGCAGGATCTCGGTTGTTATTTTTGTAATGATGTTACTCAACCCGGAAATGTAAGCACACGTTTACTCTTTATTTTAAATATTATATATAAATACGAGCACAAAACTATTATAAAATCTTTATCGTGTAAATATCAATATTTTCTAATTTAATATACACTATGGCTCGATCTTGTGGAATGATTATTTATATTTTTACTTCCAGTCGCAATCGGACAGGACACTTGATCAACAATGCACTGTTACTCGACCGGGATTGTCACAAATCGCCGCGGGCTTGGCGGTCGAACTGCTTATGGCAGTAACACAACATCCTCAAGGGTAAGATACAAATATATCATATATATTGCTAAATTATATAATTGTGCTTTTCCGATAGTTTATTTTACCTGTATAAATTTGTTTACTTATTCAACATATCTTTATGATTATTAGAATTTCAGCTAGAGCACTTACAAGTAACAATACAGATGAACATATAGAGAACAAAGATAATCCGTTAATAGGAATATTGGGTGGTGTACCTCACACGATACGTGGCTCACTTTGGGGTAATGATATGAAACTGACGGTCACATATCGATTTGCATCCTGCACGGCATGTTCTGTACCTTTGATCAAAGAGTATCAACAACGAGGCTTTGCTTTTGTACTTGATGCTTGTAACGTATCGAACTACCTCGAGAAATTGTCAGGACTCGAAGAGATATTAAAAAGACCAGATCTAGACGAGGTACATATCAATTGATTAATATCCTAAGCTATTTATATTATAAAAATAAACAGTGTATATTTTATGTATATTTTGTGAAACACATATCTATCCTTTATACAAACTAAGATTTCTTTTTTTATATTACAGGCATCATAGTATGTGTGTATATATATATATATTTTTTTTTTTTTCAAAATCGCCCAAAAAGTTATTTTACAATTTTTATATCTTTTAGTTGTGTAAGGAAATGGATACTACAAGTGAAGACGAAGAAGCATTTTTTGAGACAATTTAAACAACACAATGTAAGCGAAAATGCGTAGAATGCACAGGCGAAGCACATAAACTTTATACTCAAATTATTTGCACTGCGTTTGTACATACAAATGATACATGCTGTTCGTATATAAAATGTGAAGAAGAATAATACTGAAATGGTTTAATCAAAATACATTCTGTAGAATTCTACTACTACTACGAGTCAGTATATTTTGTACATCTGTGATGTGTAGTTTTCTTATTAACACTGA